TACGAACCTGACCGCCTATGTGTAGAGTACTGGCCGCGACGGGTCGCCGCGTCTCACGTTCGCTTCTCCCGCGGCCTCGATACCATCCTCACTCTCTCTGTCTCGTTTCATCCTACTCTCCAGCCGGTCGGTAATTTCGAAGCGGGTTGACCGACCGGATGGACGAGGAGAGGTATGGGTTCGTCGGTGCGCGCGCTGTGAAGACGTGGAGCGCTGCCCTACGGTCTCTTTGCACCTCGAGAACCGAACGATACCGTAGGGTCGAGGTAAAGGAAGGTCGAGAAACCGGAGGAGTGTGGGGGAAGGTTTTGCCGGCGATGGTGGTTCGAAGAGGGGGGGGGGGGGGAGGTGGACGAAGGATGGACCGAGGGAGAGAGGCAGACGGCGGGTGTACGGGGGAGGGGCAGGGTTCTAGGAAGGTGGCAAGCGGAGGGTGTAGAATGGGTCGTCGGTGGAGGGTGCAGGGAGGGTGGTTGGTCGTGAAGGGTGGCCGAGGGTGGCGAACCGGGTGGAGAGCGAAGAGAGTAGGAAGGTGGGCGGGGGAGGGTGATGGGGTGGGAGTAGGGTGGAACGGGGGACTGCCTAGCTGGAAACGCGTCGGTTCGCCGGCACACTAAGTATAGGCGTCCTCGCGACGCCGGCCGTCAATATACCACCCCTAACTAACCCCCCGGGGGGTCCGTGGGTGTTACTGGCTGGTAGAAGAGAGACCGGAGAGGGATGAAAGAACGGGACGGACGCGCGGCGGCGGAGAGAACGTTCGTCGGTGCGAGAGACGGTTAACGGGAAAGAAGGTGGGACGAGGAGCCAGATAGCCGGACGGATATGGAAGGAACGGAGACGGTGAAAACACGAGGAGGGTGAGTTGCTTCTGCACGAGGGATCGTCACCGTCGCCGTCGCCGTCGTCGTCGTCGTCGACGTCGTCGTCGTCGTCGTCGTCCTCGTCGTCGTCGTCGTTCTCCTCGTTCTCCTCGTTCTCCTCGTTCTCCTCGTCGACGTCCTCGGGTCGTTGTGTGTGCGCGCGAGGGTAGGTGGGCACCATCCAACCATCCTATCCCATCCTATCCTCCTGACGCTATCCTATCCTGGCGTAGCTTAGTTTAGCTTAGGGCCCTGCCACCCGGGAGGCTGCTGCCGTCAGAGGGGAAACGGGGGGGGGGGAGCCGGTTACGGACGAAGACCAATATAGAGGAGCAACGGAGACAGACTTATACCGTGTGACTACGACCGGAGGAAGAGAACGCTTGGTGTACAACGAAGACAGAGGGGCAGAGGAGGAGGAGGAGGATGAGAACGAGGAGGAACGGGGACGCGGGGGAGGACGCAAGATAGTACGAGTATAGGGTTGGTGGTAGGACATTGCGGATATATTCGCCTCTATCCAGCAAACCGGCCTCCTCCGCGCACCACCGACCGACGGCGTAGCAGCATCCTCTCCGGCGTTTCTCTCTCCTGACCATCCTGCGACGTAATCAGCGAGAGAACCACCACGCTACCCGCCCAACCACCCACCCGCCTGCCAACCCACCCACCATCGACCCCTTTCTGCTCCACCTCTTCCTCATCCACCTCATCCTCCTGGCTCTTCCTCCTCATCCCACCTTCGTCTCGCGTCTCACCGCGACCATCTACTCACCGCCACCCCCCTCCCTCCCCCGTACCCGCCTGCTTTGCACTACCCCTCGGCATCCCTTAACCGGCTCCGGTGGCATGCATCTATCCGGACGTCTATCTACCTATCTATCTCGATGCACTGGGTGTCCGCCCGAAAACCGGCTTCCATTTCTCTCCCAGCCCGAATCCGGCCATCCAACCCCACCAACTATCCCCCCATCCCCCAGCACCCCTCGCGCTCCAGGCGACCGTCCGCGACCCGTGGACCCTGACCCGCGATGCGATCGTTCCCGGTGCTGGATCCTTAATGGCGATCGCGGTTTCAGATACCCACCGTAATTCCGGACGAAACGCCACGGATTAGAATATCCTTGGGTTATCTCGCGAGGAAAAATTTGCTGGACCGGGGTTCGGTGGACTTAGTAATCTTAACGTACTCACGGTCGTGTATTTAGATTAGGATTTTAATACTGATATACCGGTAAACGTTCGGAGACAGGTTCTTCGTTGGCCAATAAAACATAAATTGTACGATGTGTATATTGTTGCGGATGTTTAAATCGATGCTCATTCCTGATGAAAAGTGAAGAATGTTATACACGAATCCGTTGACTAAACGGTTTGTTCGGTTGTTTTGTAGTTTTATCAATGGGACCGTACGTACAGCTGGAACGGTGGGGCAGCCTCGTTCGTCATCGAGCGAATCGCGCGTACCTCCTGCCCCCGCCTCCCCCTTCCTCATCCACCGTTTCTCTCTTTGTCCGGGCCGTTTGAATACATTCTTTTCACTTTCGTCGAGAGGACAGCGTTGATTTCATTCATAAGTATTCACGGTACTTCATAAGATTCCGACCTGACGATCCTTAACGGCCCTCCACCTTATTTAACGTCGGCCTCTCCAGAAGTGCTTAAACTTCCTTTTAACGGGGGAAACTTGCTCCATAAATGGGCCGAGCGAGAACCAAAGTAACCATCCTCACGGATTAGAGCAAAGAATCTGGTGTATAAACCGGTGGCCGCCCGGCGAAGAGGATTCTCGAAACAATAACACTTGTCCGCGCGCCATCCACTTGTTGTCGCCTCCCCCTTTTACGATTCACTTACTAATTTACTAACTCCTCCTGTTAGGTTATTATTTGTTTGTATTGTTGCGTGGAACTTCGTCGCCGGTTATTCGCTCCTGGTAGCTCGTACCGTACACGGCACGAAGAAAGAGCATTCGTGACCACTATAGTTATACTCCTTTTCCACTCGGTTCTTTCTCTGTCAAAACACATTTGCCACCGAAGATCTACCTTCCTCCGAACATTGGTGCCCGGTAATTGAATAGGGAAATCCGCTATTAACCCTACCGTTTTATCCTCAGTTTCGATCTTTTTCTATTGAGCTGTCGAAAAAAATGTCAGGGTTAAGACCACCGTCGAACAGATGTCGGAAGCATCGTGTCTACTTCGTAACACGTATCTATTCTAACACGTATTTCGCTGGTCGGCATTCTTTCTACTCTACTACCCGAAAGCTTACAGCTAAACGTTTCTCCAAGTACATATCGAACAGGAATCGTCGCTTAGATCGCCTTGTTGGTTCCTCGGAATTTTCAAACGATATCGAAACAGCAAAACAACATCATCCAACGAGAGAAAGGAGGAAAAGAAAAAACCGCTGGAATTCTGCAAAGCTCTCGGGACCACGCTACCGCGGATAATCGTTGTGAACGGAATTAAATACATTCAGGTTTTTCCATAGTTGGCGCAGAGATCGCGCGCGAAGGTGAGAGCGAGGACGAATGACCGTGTGGGAATACGGCGCGGTGGTGTGTACACGTGTATCTGTATTGTGATATGGATGTTAATAGGTCAGGGGGTCTCCAGAGAATGTGGGGTGAAACACGATTTCGATAAGGGTTTATATTCCTCCCGCTCTCGTCCATTCTTGCCTCCCCTCTCTCACTCTCTCTCTCACCCTCTCTGCTCTTCCTCTTTCTCCTCATCTCTCCACACATTCGTTCGTTATTCTCCCTCTCGCTCCCACTGTCTGTTCGCCATCCCTTTCTCTTTCTACGTTATACACGGGTTTCTCACTCCTTCTTCCGTGCGGTCGCTCATTGAAAACCGGCTCCTAGGGCTTCCAACATAACGTGTGCCGCCGGATTCGCGCGTATATATGGTTGCATCCGCGTGTGTATATTTGTACGCTCGACGGTAGAGAGAAAGGGAGGGAGGAGACACGCATGTTCCCGTATACAAGTACTTACTACTTTATAGCGGCGACTTCAGGGAACACGTGTACCGGCTCGTTAGAGCACGCCCGAGGTTCCCCTGTTTTCGCCCGCGGGACCCACATTATCGGTGAGGGGTGGGGGCGTTCTGCGAAACGTAGATCGTCTCTACGGGGCCTGGCGGAAGAGGTCCAGACGTCACATTTCAAACCGGTGACTTGTGAACCGTTCGTTTGTGTGTGTGCTCTATGGCTCTCAATGTGAACGTGTTGGTTCGGGAATCGGAACACGCGCCAATCGAACGGGGATCTGTCTCTCTGTGTGATGGTGTATGGTGCGATTTTGTTGGACTGAAAAAGAGTGTTCAGGGTTAGATGGTGGTTCCGCGGATGTGTCCGCGTACCCAACACGTTTTTTCACTCTCCGCGAGTATCTCTACCGATTATCAGTGAACCATAGACGCAAATATTGTAGGATTCAAGGACAGACATCAATGACGTTTCATCGAGGGTTATAGGGTTCCAGGGAACAGTTCACGCGAGGGAGAGAAAGAAAGACGCGTGTCGGCTACGGTAGAACCTAATAGAAAAGGCGGTCGTGCTCGTCGCGGCGATTCTATTTAATCGCGAACGCGAACGGCTTCGCTCCAATTCGGCTTGGTTATGTATAGAATCGCCTAGATATTCGCGGGTTGTCGCGGGAATTATAACACGGCGATCAACGGTGGAACCCGAACAAGAATCATAACCGGTCGAACACACAGAGGAGGCCGATGGGGCACGATCTCGATGTGTCCTTCGACACCGGGAACCGTCCGTCGAACGTTTCCGAAATCTCAACCGGTTACACGGACGCCTATATGACCACGGAATCCGCCTCGCGTTTCGTCGACGTTCGCCGCGGCGTGAAACTGGTTTCACGGTTGTAGTTCGTCCCCAACGATCATTGTCTCGGCATCCGCCCGTGTTTTTCCTCCGATCGGTCGCGGCGGATTCCTCGAAGATGTACAGGCCGCGGGACAAGAACCGATCGTCGAACGACACGAGTCGAGTGCCAATTGTATATTTTTTAATTTCATAACATTTTAACCTTTCTTTTTGTAAGGAAGATACACTTTGCATGATTATGATTCATTTTTTTGTTCTAAATTCATTGAAACAGTCGTAATGTCAATTCTGGCCCACCAGTGTGATAGCCAGAATCGTATGCACAGTTATAAGGTGAATCAAGCTGTTGTTAGATTATCGAGAATACCTGGTCTGTTGAGACTCGAGAATACAGTCGATAATCATAATCACCGATCGATCACCGCGACGATTAATCGATTCACGATTACTATTACTCGTGATTGAAACTCTGTGTAGCATCATAAGACCAGAAACAATTTCCCTTTCTTTACGGCGATCAAAGCACCCAAGGTTGAACAGCGCCGACGAATCGACCAACAAAAGGCGGACCAGTTTCATTGAGGGAAACGAGGGGATCGTTGTTGCTCAAATTCTGTTGATCATCCCCGTTAATCGCGACTATTTACGTAACAGCTGTTCCGAATACTTTCCGCTGGTGGAAGACGAAGAGAGAAACAAAGAGAGAGAGAGAGAGAGAGAGAGAGAGAGCAAGTTCGTAACTTCGTCGGGCAACTGAACGGATTATGCTCGTTGATTGTGTAGAACGAAAAGTGGAAGTACCGGCGCGGAGAGCAGCCCAGTTTGAAACTTCATAGAGAACGCCAGTCCGTTCATTCGTTTTCGCAACCCTCCGGAACGAAACTTAAAGGGGGTGGCACGGGAATCTTCGAGCTCCGGTTACGGGAAAAGGTGAATCCGGCATAACCGCTCAACAAGTTAGAAAACGAGCATTAATCGTGTCCTTTGAATCGTCCTTGAATCCCCCAACCCCTTTCTTCCTCGTCGGGAAACGAATTAACATAAACGACAACAAGGTAACTTTTCTGCGATTAATCACCGAATCAAATAGCCGAGAAAAGTGAACAGAGATGATGCGAGAAAGAGCATTTATGAAATTCAGGAAAAAATGCAATTCCATACACACTGTAAAGTGTAATGAATACCCAACGGTCCCCGAGTATCGATCACAGAAACGACCCATCGTGCCTTCAAAAGGGTCTCAACGCCCCACAGAGTTTTCGGGACGGAATTCCATTTGAAAAACATGGAAACATTCGCCAACAGTCCGCGCTTTTCCAATCTTTACCGTCCCTCAATACCGTGCAACGGACCTTGGATGCGCCGTTCGTTTACAGTTCCGATTATTTTCCCACCTCGGAACGCGCGAGAACACCGATAAATAAGTCTTAAATAACGCGCAAACATCTGATATTTGCCGGTCGGATATTTTTTCGTCCGCGGGGCGGATAAATATAACCGGGGGTCCGGTCGGTCGACGTTTGCTCGCGTAATCACGGCCATTACGATAAACGTTCCTCCTCCCCCCACCCCGCCTTCGACCGGAAATCCAACGTCGCTTCCGACGCCGAGACGAAACACGCGTTTCGCTGCCTGAGGATCCGTTACTTTCCGGACACCGTGTGCACGGTTGGCGAGGACCCGCGGCTTGTTCGGTGCCTCTCGTTGCACGGTCTCTGCGGGGAATGCCAGCCAGCCCGCGTAGGTGTAAACCCGGGTGCGCGAGTGTTGGTCTAGGGCGTCCTCCGGTTCCTCGCGCGGAGGTACACACAGACACACACACACACTCGGGCGGCCGATGGCGCATCTAGCCCAAGGTGTACAGGTCGAGTCACGTAGCTGGTCCACCCTGATTATCGTACGTGATGATTTGGAAGAATTTTGCATATTTCTTGGCTAATTGGACATGGAAAAACACCATAATTCCGTGCTTTAGCCACATTGATTTTCCGTTTCTACATAGGAAGAAATTAGGCGGTGATTCTGTTTAGTGCTTTTGGCAATCGCGTTCAACGGAACTATGTACCTGGTCTTTTACCACTTATCGTCGATTCTTTGGGTAACGACAGGTCGTAGACCGATCCCACAGTGTAGAAATTTGTATAGAAAGGGGGAATATAGACTTATTTTCCGATGGTGCATATAAATCACATAAATTATACAATCATCACGGTGTGGGGCTCTTGAGACCGTAAAGCCAATTAGACCTAGATGTGGACGTCTAGGGGTTAGCAGGTTGGCGCCTGTCGTCGTAGATCTGCATTACGGGCGGCGGATCTTAAGCCATACAAGCCAAAAATCGAGTGCTAGCATGTTAATAAGTAGACTAAATCCGTCCGAGCTTTAACTTTACGACATACACAAAGTGACTTTTGATCACGATCTGATCGTCGATTCGACAAAGTCCTGTTCTAAATACCCGCGAAGGGATAAAGTTTTACGGTCAATCAACCCGGAAAATGATCAGGGTGAGGTAGTGTCGTATATGGTTCAGCCTGTAGAAACGGCGGTATGGGACCAGGTACTATCTAGCATGTAGTAATACCGGGTACTAGGTACGTACGCGCCGCGGACGCCAAATAGTGGTTCGCATATTCAGAGAGATAGCGACGTCGCTCGGTGCGATCGCCCCTGATTTAGGCCTCGTTCCCTATCTCTGCCTCTCTCATTCCCCTCTGTTCCCTGCCGCTTACCTCCTCTCTCTCTATATATATATATATATATCTCTCTGTCCCTCTTGCTCTCACTTCATCCTTCCTCCTTTCGTTCGCCCTCGGTCGTTCCATCTCCCAACGCGCGCGCCAACACACTCAAGACCCCCGGCGTGTGTACCCGTCGAGGTATTTGCCCCGTGTGTGTGGTGTGTGTATACATATATATGCGCGCGGTGTGTGTGTGTGTGTGTGTGTAGAGTGTACGTGTGGCACAAGGGGGCACACATAGCACTCTGGTCGCGTCCACGGATAACGTCCTCGATACGGCGGCCAGCAGCAGCGGCGAGCACGACATCGAGGCGTCCCGAAAAGCGCTATCTCGCGGCACCCGGCTCGAAGCCGACCAATCAGCGCTTCGATCCGCGCTTTCGACCGCGTCGCGCTTTGATCATGTGTATATACGTATATACATACGTATACATATATATGCACACATACATACACAGAGCGCGGCGGCGGACCGATACCCCACGAGTGAGCATCGTCTCGGCGTAAATCACGTCCGCCGCGCCGCTGCTCGGGTCCTCTTCCGTGACCGTAGAACGTCGGCGGCTAGGGGCGGGGAACCAACCGAGGCAAATTATCAGACGCGGAATTAAAGGTTATTTTCTTTTTTTCAGCTTTCGAAATCGCACCCGAACCCCGTTTCTCCGCGATCATCGTTGACACACGTTTATTCTTTGTTTCGTCGGTGATCACCGTGTAAACACTGATGCTTTTTTCGAACTGAAAATATAAGATGTAAACCTTTGGAAAATTGTACGCTGGAATAAGGACATATGGGTGAAGAGTTAATAGGTGAAACTTTCGTAAACGTGGGCCAGAATATGTACCCTCATGGGAAAACTCGGCTGCCGCTAGGCGAAAAAATGGCGTACGAGAAGTGCCTTCTACCACTTGATTTGAATAATGTTAAATCGAATGTTAATTTGACATAAATTTCAGTAATTCCCAATACCAAGTGGTAGGAACATTCTAGGAGGCCCTTCCCCTACGTCACTTTTTCCCATAGCGGAAGTTGAGTTTGCTCATGGGTGGCCCAAGCATCACTACCTTCGTATGTTTTTTTTTAACGTTGACAACCAGCAACCTTGGTTAAATAAACTACTATTCGTGCGCAGGTTATCGCTCTTCAGCCGGTAGAGGTAGAAATTACGTTTTGAGAAGCGTGTAGTTAATTGGCGAGACCACATTTTCCCTTGGTTGCATAAAACGAAACGCCAGCTGCAACGCATCTTTTGGCAAGTGAAAAAAATTCATATCTACGTTGAAATGTTAAATGAAATAACGTTGGTTAAGGTGCCACCGAGGTTCAAGCGCGGCGTGTAAAACGTTGAATTTACACGATTTTCATTCCGTTCGAAAAGAGAACTTCTAACCGCCGGAAGTTTCGTCGGGACAATTTAACTGTCAGAGCGTTAACCAATTATGGAATCGAATACTGAAAGTTACTAATTTTAAAAATCACACACGGAAAACACGTAATCACAGAGGTTAAGTGATTATGTACAGTGGCCGTGGTTGGGTTTCATTTGTTGCGTCATTAAAATTCACACGTTGAAATAACGTTGCTGGGCATTGCCATTAAGGAGAAATGGTTTTCGAATGGTAACGGTGAAATCGCATTGACGATCGTTTCGGCGAACTATATAACGGGCTGTGACGCGACCATATGGCTATATTGCAGCGGAGAACGGTTTCGCGATCGAATATAAGTATCGGTCATACGATAATACCTCGCAAAAAGGCCGCGGGAACCTTGAAAACAGTTCCGACATTTTCGATATTTTCAACGAACCGATCGTTATAAACCCGCTGTATCGCGCCGTCGATAAAAACCATCGGGGGCTGACGTCGTTCTATCCACTTTAAACGATTCCGTGGCACGGGAAAGTCTCTTCGAATCTTCACGTCGAGCAAATCAACTTTGCCGCTTGGGAAAGTAAGTTGTATGTGAAATTTATCGAGCGCACACCGAACCATCGCCGTGTGCGTGAACGTGCGAACGTTTCGCATAATTGCTCGACGCGTACACTGCGGCTGAGCGACCTAATGCTCGATCGTATACCGCCTTATACTTTCCCAACCGGATTATTCTCGTATTTAATTCGACCGAATGCCGTTCGGTATGTGATGACAGTGATATTAATCGTACGTGGTAGGATTCTCCCATTGTTGTTTAAATCTGTCCTTGTCATTCCCTGAACTAATAGGGGTTTCCGCGTGTCGCGTGTTATATTTACCAAGTGAATACACATAGTTTCATGGAATACATTGACAGAATCAAAACTGTACATATCACGGAGAAAGAGGTTGCCAATTTAGATTTACGAATCGATGGTGAACGGTCGAATGAAAATTACAGACGACCGAGCATAATCAAGCCGATGTTTTCGAGGCGTACCGGAAAGAAGTTTCTCCCGGCGAGCATGTTCCGCTTTAAAAACACGTCTGCAGACGGGTCACGCGACGGGAAGAAAAGCTTCGATCACCGCGATTAAAACGAAAAAACGAGCTAGGGAGTAGGAGGAGAAGGAAGGGTCTCGATCTCGCTGAATTTTCCGGCGACGTGATGTTAAATCGTACAAGGGGGCGTATTTATAGTGGCGGCCGCGTGTCGTATATTTCGCACAATATTCACGGGTACGGCGGGTTCCGCCGTGTGGCTGTAAATTATCGCGGCCTGGACGACGTAAGTTGATGGTTGAGAAGCACTGAGCGCAGCTGCCGCGGCGCGGCGGCGGTATCTCCGCGTTGTCTGCTACCTCACACCCTCGTCTTGTCGTCCCACGTGGGTGCCGGTCGAAGGGGTCGCGCGGAACGAGGGTGACGAGGGCGCGGGGAAGCGAGCAGGCGTTTGGGGTGGTGGAGGGGCCGAAGGGGGTGGGGTATACAACGCCAATGGGCGAGGAAGCGGGACCGTGGGCGACGGGAAGGATGAGGGGAAGGAGAGGGAGGGTAGGGTGAGGTTAGGTTGGGTGGACAGAGGGGGCGGAAGTGGGTGAAGGGGTCGAGGGATAGCCGCCGCCACCACCCACTGACCATCTCTGCCCTACCCTGGCCCAGGCAACGCGTTCTCGCAAAAAAGATTGCCCTCTCCCCTGCTCCAAGACACGAAAGGGCGAATCGCCCCTTCGACGATCCCGTAACACCTTCAGGATTTTAGAAATTTGTTCGAAACGGGGATGGAACATTCGAAAACCACGAGATCGTTTGTTTCTTTCTGTAAAGAGATGACCGAGGGAAATATCTTTTTTCTTGTTTGGAAAACCCTAGGTTAAGTCTTTTAACGGATTTAATATCGTGCGCGCCTTTTTTTTTACGTCCTACTGATCTCCTTTCCTTTTATTCGACTGTTGCGTCCTTCTCTTTTTACACCACTCGGCGATTCCCGCGGTACGATGCAGTAAATTTTACGCGTACTAGATCATAATACAGTGACGTAGGTCAGGGACCGGGAATACGCACGAGTTGCCACGTGCTCGTCGGTATGTTTCAATGTGTACTCTTCCCGTGTCCGACGATTAGCAGCTGTGTGTGCGATACATTTACTCTTTGGTATTGTTATTATTATTACTTCTGCGTTTTCACGTGAGACTAACGGGTAACTGGGAAGTCCGTCCGAATTCAACGACCGTTGGTAAGATAGAACGGATAAACAGGAATCGAGATCAATGTGGTGGTGCTTCGAGCGCTCTGTATTATCAATTACCGATACTTCGAATTATCGACTGATAAAGATTTTTTACTTGATCCTGTTCACAGCCTAATAAATTACGTTCTCCTACCTGGATGCAAAAATTCCATAAAGGCAATTGCTTCGAATGTGCAACGTTTCTGACAAGTTTGCTGTTAGGGCAAGGGTACAATGCGTTTGTGGTAAGCGGCTGCGCATCTAGGGAGCAAACCACGTGTGACTTGACGAGAATCGCGTACCCCTACAAGCGACAACCGGAACCACCACCTCGTTCGCCGGTAGAGATTGAGATTTCGAAATATAAACTCGAATCGCCTGCGGAATATAAAAGTCAATTTTTGGCGGAACTGGAGGAGGAGGAGCAAAGAAAATTGCAAGAGAAATTAAAACGACAAGAGGAAGAGCAACAGAGATTAATTGAAGTATGTAATGGAAATCATTGTTATCCATTGCCACTATCCCACTCTATTACGATTCCCATCCATTGTCTAAAAATTATTTCGATGTTTAGGAATTGGAGCAGTCTCCTTTAGATAAACATTGGGGGTTCAGAGTACACGCTTGGGTAGCGATTCTACCAGAGTTAGGAGGACTGAGAGACCAAGAATTCTCTGGACCACTTTTTATCGAACCCTCCACCGGTGTATCCTACAATTCGCTGGATACAGACGAACTGTACTTGAATGTAGAAAGCATATGGAACGATCAGAATTATTGGGTGAATATGCAATCGTCTTCAGTGTCATGCTCAAACATAATATGGGACCTAACGAAATTGGAACTGTGGGAACACGTACTTCCCGGGGAACCGTGGACAATGCGGGGAATAGGAGAGGCGATCGATGAGGATTCAGCTATACTACAGGAGAAACATTTAGACATGCCGATCTCTTATGTACAGGAGATACAGATCACTGACGAAGGTATTGTAGATTACACATACAAAATATATTTTAATTTTTAAACAAATTAATGCAGTTTAATTGTTTAGAATATGAAAGAAGATATCCGAACGGCATGAAAACGATATTTTACAAGAAAACAAAGGTTGATCTTTATACGCCGTACTTGCACCTGGATGGTTTGATAGAGAGGATAACCAAGTACGATGATTACGATTACCTGAATCTTATAGAGTACGAGGAATTATACGTGAACAGATCAGATCAGCTTGTAAAATGTAAGAAAAATCTGACCAATGATTCTGTTATTGATTTTTATGAAAGAGGTCGACCGGATCAATGCAAAGGTATAATTCCAAGATTTTATCGTTAGTTTCTTTTTATTTGTTGGTGATCTAAATTGCAGAACATCGGTATTTCGGAAATGGTCCCGATACAGTGGACATGGAACGCATTTTGGAATTTTATCATGTTGCTCGTATCGATGGGCTTTCGCGGTTAGAAATGCATCCGAATTACTTGACACAACACTTTGTCGATCGTGATGATTTCTTGTATTATAGGTAGGTAATAATATCGCATGTAAATCACATGAATGCAAAATATATCAACAGCAGAGACTCGTAATGCTATCTGCGGCAACATGTCCAAGCTACATGCCAGTTGGTACTTCATCGTTGTCGTCAGATGACATCACTGTGTATCTTAAAAGTTTTGTTAAAAATTTAAATATTGTGCGTTGCTCTGTACACAAAATATTCTGTAATATACCCCAATGATAAAACTAGAGTTTCAATCGGCTTGAGAACAGGCACGCAGAGTTTTCTCAGGAGCGGAATATCCCTTCGTCTAACGATATACACTACCGGGAGATATCGGTAAGGTCGAATTCGACGTTTTGGTAGAATCAGCATTTGTTGACGTATAGTTCAAATTATAGAAGATCCTTGAAGAATTTAACAGAAACGAAACAGTAAAAGCCAGTAAGGATGTCGCGATTCGTGAGTTTGCTATCGGTGAGAACGAAATACGACTCACGTACCATTATGAACCAGGACAATACAGCAGAGCTACCAGAATGTACATAAAACCACCGCTGGCGGAAAGGGGTGACCGCTTAGTGTTGAATCCCACTATGACACAAGGATATAATGTCAGCTTCTGAACAATTTTGTTAGTAACAGTTGTTTGTAACAGAGCTACATATATTATTTTGTGAATATTTATAGCCTTCAAATGTACCTGACAAAACTGTTGAATTACTTTATGAGCTGGAGATGCAACTTAAGCAGGAGGATCGATCTATATCTTACGTCAGAGGTACCGAAGTAGAAGTATCGAACTTCCTGAAAATCAGAGACGACGAATACTTATCACCGAAGTTATTGGTATCTGTATTTAACAAGACCCGAGACGAGGAAACTGTGACTGAAATTATGGTACTGAACCAACAACGATAAATGTTTTGACCCGTTACTGACATAGATTAATATTTCGGATTATTGAACACAGCATGATTGGTCACGCGTTCAAAGTAAAAAATCCATGATGGACACGGTAGATTATTTGAAACCGTATTTAGCGCGTTTGGGGAATCCTGATGAATTATCCATGCAGCAAGCATTTATACTACGAAACCAGTGTCTCAACGATTATAAACAATTACTCATAGACAGAGCAAATAAGATCCTGCATAAATTTGATGAAGATTCGCAGAAAGTGACAAAAATGCAAGAAAAATTATTGTTCCAGGTGAAATATTTTTCTGTTTTTTCAAGAGAATTATAGAGAAGAATTTTTTTATACAAACTCTTTCCACAGGCCAATGAATTAACCCGCGAAGAAGAGGAGCAAATATTAGAACAAATGAATGAAATCAATTTCAATATGATGACTTTAGAAACCCGACTGAATCGTCACAAAAATCTAGTTCCAGCGCGATACAAAATGTTGGTGAATCACTTGGAACAAAATTCTCACCTCGCGACCTTTCGGAGTACATTTCCTTCTTTCATATAAATCAAAAAGTCCGTTGAAATATTTATATATATAAATGAGTATATTTATTGAAAAGACCAAGAACCCATTTGTCCAATGCAACGGCCTGAAATATATTTTAAGAATAAATCTGTGGAATCCTTAGAGAATAGTTGATATCTTGTACATTAATACCTTCGTCGTCGAAGGTGGCCAACGTAAATTTACTAAGTTTATTCGTGAAGCTTCCTGTATTGGACCCTATCGAGTGATCCGTTAAACGGTCGACATTCGCAACATCACCATTAGCCCCGTGGCGACGTTGTTCCTCGGTGAATCCAGAAATTAACGTATCCATCATTATTGCCTAAATAATAATCATTGATTACGATACTTCGTTAGACAGGGTGCGATCGCAATAACGGTACAAACAGTTTAGTAGAAATAAAGCATACTTGTCTCGAGAATACTTGTAGAATCTTATAAACGCGTGCTCCGTTCTCTCGTACTGGGAACTGTAGAAACAGACAAGGCAGGCAATCCAGATTGCCTTCGTCAGAGGGCTTTGCCATTTCCCAACTAAGCTCTGAGTACCTCAGTCCCAATAATAAACTCTGTACAGTAGTTAGTATCGAATTAGCATGCACTTAACAACTGGTCATGAATTAAGATTCCTTACACATTGCATGTCATCCACAATGTACACTCCTGACGAATTAATGGCTATCAGAACTTGCATATCGCGGTTCGTGATCCACGATGCTAGACCTCTTACAGGACGCTCAATCTGTCCTTGGAAAAACGCTGCGCCATAGCATGGTAAACTCCAACAAAACTCCAAATATTTTCTGATCAGTTTTCTTGGATTTGCATTAGTCCCCGTGTGATTGGGTATCCGTTTGTACTGTTCAAGAAGACGTGCCTCCGGTGCTCCCTTCCCTCCTACCAGTCCTAATCCGAGACCCAGCCCCAGCAACAAACTAGGAGAAGTGTAATGGTGAGGTAAAAATCTACCACGATGCTTTCTGAAAAACGCTAATGTATGGCTCTGTGGATTGTACGGGCCTAGTTCGATACGTGCTTGCAGGGCACCCAAACTTGCATACCGTGCTTGACCTTCGCACGGATATCGCCCTAGAATCATTTTCATATTACATTTCTATTTTCAATTCACACTTGTAGTTATAACACTATGAAATACCATCTAGATCAATCAAATGTCTCGTACAGATTCTCACCTTGCAGCACATTATTTCTAGCTTCTGCATACAACAATTCCAACACCTTAGCTTCTTTTATTTGCTCTTCATCTATTCTAGAAAGGAACACATTTCGTCTAAGACACAGCAAGGGTTCCTCGTCCGACTCCTTGCTCTGGGAACTGTATTTTCTCACTAAACGATTCCATTTTGCAGCCATTTCTATGGGCTTATGATTTGGACGTAGTTGAACTTCTAGACTTGAAGAGCAGAGCCACAAAGCAAACACTGTTTGCCCAGTGAGCAATGAAGTTCTTGATAATCCTAGTTCCCCCTCTGACTGTATTACAGCCAAAATTTGATGCGCAGTAAAATTTTGTTCAATGTCCATTATTAAGAAAACTCCAGTCACTAAGTACACAGCTATTCGAACAGTAGGTCTACCTACATTCAGATACTGTGGCTGATTCACTATCATTGCTGAAGGAAGGAACATTGTTTATGTGTAAAATCATTTCGTTATATTACTAATATTATTACTTACTAGCTGATGTATGCCCATCAGGCTTATAATCATTCTGATAACGACGAATTGGTTGCCCTCTTCGAATAGTGCAATCCTCTTGTGCTTCCATGCCTTTTTAATTTCTATTTAGCTTTATATAATGTATACTAAACATTGTACTGTGTGCACAATTCAACTATTCAGGGAATCTTGTAATAATATGCAATATTTCATTTACATTTTATGCTATTATTGGTAAATACTGCCACTGAGGGTGCTGTCATGATCATTGCTGTGATGTGGACAGTATATAGTGCTTTATACAGTAATATAATTGCGATATTTATGTCAAAAAAAGATAATTGTTAATTATACTTATTGTGCTGAAGAAATGGTTCTGCTCTGTGTAATAAAAACTGTTATTAATTCCGACAAGGTACTAAATCAAAATACTGCTCTGCTGCCATCTAAAGCAAGAGACCAGTTATTGATTATTTTAGTCCGGTAGTTTGAGGCACCTTAGCGGTAAGGTATTTCTATTTCTCTTTTTAATGAAAAATACTTCGAGAAATATTAAAACGTAATTATTTTATGCAGTATATATTATATCGATTCTCGGGCAATAATAGATACTGTATAAAATGACTTTATTAACTCTATTATCTGTGTTAGATACAAATTATACAATATAAACATTGTAATACAAGGTACAAAGTAGTTCTTTATTTTTCCGCTTCCTTTTTATTCTTATATCTCTATTGGTTCATTACACTCTACAAGGTCAATAAACATTAATCTTGCAGTTTCATTTTTCACAGTACTTTCAGAGGCTAAACATCTGCAAACGTGAAGACTGAATTTCAGCCTTTAAAAGTGATGTACTCTTTTGAAAGCAATGTCACTTTTAAAATAACTCATTCTCTATAATCAAAAGAAATGCATGAGAAAGAAATTTTGTAGAACTGCAATAGAATTAATTCTGTTTTTACATAAATTCTTAATTAATACAATCGTCAACTTTTAAGATTTATATTAAGTCCGCTACGTTCATTGGCATCTCGTCGATTTGTGTCGAGTAATATTGTTCAATGTCTCTCAGAATCCTGATGTCATCGGTTTTGACAAAATTGATAGAGACACCCTTTCTGCCGAAACGACCCGATCGACCTATTCTATGAATGTATAACTCACGATTGTTGGGTAAGTCGTAATTGATCACAAGGGACACTTGTTGAACATCTATTCCTCTTGCCCATACGTCGGTTGTAATTAACACACGACTATAACAGAAACAAAAAACAATGTAAACCAAACAAAAGATTCATTTGTAATGCAACATTATTGTATACGTGTTTGAAAATGTACCTCTGACCAGATCTGAATTCTTTCATAATATTGTCTCTTTCCTTCTGAGGCATATCTCCGTGCATAGAACAAACTGTGAAATTAGCCTCCCTCATTTTTTCCGTCAACCAATCCACTTTGCGTTTTGTATTACAGAAAATTACTGCTTGTGTTATTGTCAATGTATCATATAAATCACATAATGTATCGAATTTCCATTCTTCCCTTTCTACAGCGACAAAGAACTGCTTTATTCCTTCCAATGTCAATTCATCACTGCAAGCAATTATAAATGATTACAAATTGACGCACAATGCTGGATTAAATTTAGAAAAATTGACCTACCGTTTGACCAGAATACGAACAGGATCTGTCATAAATTTACTTGTCATTTCAAGAATTTCGTGTGGTAATGTGGCAGATACTAATACCACTTGGGTTGCAGGTGGCAAATATCTATATACATCGTAAATTTGTTCTTTGAAACCCTTATTCAACATTTCGTCAGATTCATCAAGGACTAACATTTTTATTGCTCTGGTCCTGAGAACTCTCCTTTTTATCATGTCTGAAAATATTGTTGTATTAGTTAAACACAATTTCTATATATTTCATTTTAAAAAATTGACTCTCAAGCAATCTTAGTTAGACTTAAAGTCTATATAATACAAATTATATAATGATAAAATATTATATGTAATTATTCAATTAAGCTGTGATACACTTTTTTGCTGAAAGTTATCAGTTTATGTTACAACTTCGATACTATTGAAAAGCCTAAAAATACTGTTATTTATTTGAATCAGTTCTAGAAATTAATTCTATTCACCAGTCAAGTATCACTTTTGTGGTATCCTAGCAAACTACTAGTTATATATGCATCCAATGGTAACCAATGTGTTAATTAACAAGGCTACATGTGTTACATATTTACCAAATACTCTGCCAGGTGTTCCAGATACAACATGTTGCCCATAATCTAGTTTCCTGATGTCCTCACCAAGATTAGTACCTCCAATACAAGCATGACATTGAACATTCATAAAATCTCCCAATGCTAAAATGACTTTCTGTATCTGTGTTGCCAATTCTCTTGTAGGAGACAAGACCAGAACTTGTGTCTCTCTGACTTGTGTATCCAAAGACTGTAATATGGCAATCGAAAACGTTGCCGTTTTTCCTGTACCAGATTGAGCTTGTGCGATCACATCTCGTCCCTTCATTATAGGCTTGATGGATCGTTGTTGAATCGCTGATGGTTTTTCAAAGCCTACAATCGAAACATTGTTTCATGTGTAAATAGAACGAGCAATAATGACGAAACAAAATCGGCAATCGTTGGCAACTAACATCATTGCGTACATTAATTCAAATTTATGAAACGAAAAGTAGGCAAACAGGTTATGTTTATACACAACGAAAAACGCAGAATTATGATAATACCATAAGCGTAGATTCCCCGCAACAACTCATCTCTGAGTCCCATATTATCGAAAGTAGGTATAACCTCCACATCTTCGCTGGTCTCAAATTCGACATTCGACAAATCTTCAGTTTGCGCGACGCGACGTGATTTTACTTCCGCCATTTTTGCCTGTAACACGATGGACTGTAAATGTAAATGATGTGAAGCTTGTGGGATTCCAGTACATACTTCGAGTAGGTTAGACAACATAATCCATAAGCCTAAATTTGTTCTTGGCCAGACTGATGGAAGTTCCTTAAAGTTATATTGTTGTGTATCAGCCATATTATTTTATACATTTATTCGCATTACGATGCAGCCTTTATTCTTAGGCCATTTTTCTTGGAAAAGGCGGATTCCCATTAGTATTGTAGATCATTGTAGATATTGTTGGCTCTTATAACCGCGAGTTATGACTGAAATTAATCGTTAAGTAATGTTATTATTAATATTACAAGCAACAGACGAGTAAGATTTTTATTACAAACAAAATATGATCTCGTAAATATAAAAATTGATTATTTAGATAGAAATTTTCCTCTGAGATAGGTTATGTGTCAGTTTGTTTAAATGGAAGTTAGTGCAGCTAAAATCAAAATGGATATTAACGTAACACTAGACGAACCTTTAACAAGTTACGCTTGTGTGAAACTTGTTATTGAACTTTTGAAGTATATTTTGTATCAGAAGCAACAGATACCATTCACATACGATTCGTTGACTCGACTACAAATGAGTGTAAAGCCAACTGACAGGAATTCGTCCTCTATAAGAAGAATATTGAGTTCTTTAAAAAGCGTGTCGGAAGAGTTAAGTTCTCAGTTTCATCTCAAGAATTGCAAAGTTAAAGAAATTGCTATACTGATTGGTGCTACCATAATATCACCAAAATTACATGTTAGATTGCAATTTCCATCCAATATTCTTAGTAGTGAAGAACATTATGAATGCAAGCATACATCTAGAAAGCCTTTATTAAGCCTGATGAGGTCAGTAAAAATAATTTTTATTTAATAGTTTTTTGTACCTCATTGAAGTTATTACAACACAAAATAAATGTTTTAGGTCTATGATAGGATGCTCAGAATTTCAAGATGCAATAAGTTTACCATTGAATCCAACAAACACCTTTGTACTAGTACAAAAGAGTGATAGGAACTCAGTATCTGAATTCTTTTTACCAAAGCCACAATATGTACCACCAATACGAAGTTCAAATTGTTTTGTAATCAAATTCCACCATAATAATCAAGTAAAAATAGACTGTAATTGCACTGATATAGTAAAAGTTTACAATGAAGTATGTGAGTCTGATAGCAACAAGGATGGAGACATTAATGTATTAAACAATTCCAATGAAATCATTAAAAATATTCCTTATCAGTGGTATCAGTCCAGAGAAGTAATCAAAGGATTCAAATTTATAAGATGACAATGAGACTGTTATAGGAAATTGAATGAACAGCATCCCTTCTATTAATATGAAATTTTAGACTAGTGAGGAATGATATTTTCATTCATAACAAAGTTTGTATTAGGTGTCGGTTATAAAAAACTTATTAATCATAATATTATAGAAATATATGAATAACTATAAGATTTAAGTAGATGATATCCTTGAAAGATCTTTTATGACAAAATGTTAATGGTGAAAAGTATATTGATTTATATGTTGAAGATATGTTGATTATAAATAAAATTTGTCTATAACTAAAAAATAGTTTATATAATCACATGAAATTTATAATCATCTATTATTTTGAACAACATAGGAATATTCAACATAAATAACAATAAGATATTCAACATAATAAACTATACCTAAACATTGATTTATTAAAACATATGAGTTAACATAATTTTAATAACATCAAAATATAATCTGTTTTTTGTATTTGTATCTTTTAGATCAATTTATAAAATTGATCAAGTACATATCTGTCATCCAACATGTTCATATATGTATAAATGTACATACATATATGAAATACAAATAAATGGTTTTTAACATAATCAAAATTATTGTGCCTTCACTTTGTCTGTATTCTTTTTCTCTTCTTCTTTGTCTCTGTCAGTTTTATTTAACAAAACATTATTTTCAACTTGATAAATCTTAATCTTTAAAATTCTGAAATCATTAACTTTGATTATTCTGAAAATTAATATCACCAACCCTCCTAACCAACTGCACATCATTATATACGAAAGAACCTTAAAAAGATTTAATATACAATTTAATATTTAATACTATTGTAATAATAAAGTACTTTAATATTTATAAGATGTCACCTGGAGCCAAAAGAACATTTTACATGTGTTATATTTATGGTAGTTATATCCTTCCAAATATGTTTCTATAATTTCACATTCACTGCAAATACATTTTTACTAAATTCAAATTCATGAAGTATAGTGATTTGTGTTTCATACCTCATAAGCTTCGGTATTTCATGAGTATTATTGCTTATTTCAAGGTAAATGGTGTTTAAGTTTTGCATAAATCCATCATATCCTTTTATTAGATTAACGCTAGCATATGTTGCTATTATTGCAAATATTAAATTAAAAATTGTTGCAGGAAATACAATTCTCCATGGAGCCTCAAATCTATGCAATATAATATTTAGGTCTATAGATTATCATTGACAATTAATAATTATAATTAGTTACTTACAATCCTACATCATGTCCACCTTTTCCACACATAAAAAACAAAGTAGACCATATAGTTCCAAATATGCAGGATAGGAAACATGTTATGAAATATATTTTACATCTATTTTTGTATTCATAATTGGTGATAATATGATTCCACCAATCTGCATTACTTAAATTCAAATCAAACTCATCAATTGTGTTATCTACTTCTGATTTCCCAGTTAAGGTTGAAACAGAATTTGCCCAAAGTGGACAGTTATCATGAAAGATTTGATGCTTTAAAATTGAAAATAAAAACATTAATTTCAGTTCGAAACATTGGGAGTAAAAAAGTAAATTACTTTCGTACCCATATTATGTAAAATAAAATACTGCAAATGTATCCGGTAATCGCGCTCAAAATGTAAAAGAATGCTGGCACTAGTTTCCATAACCAAGAAATTTCGGTTGCATCACGCTCGATAAGTTCCTGATATTCTTCTAAAAGTTCCATTAAGAATATCCACACAAAAATAACAGTCGTGAATGAAATTTTTTGTGTACTTTATATAAACATTACATTGGGATTTAAAGACATTACGCGCCAAACTTCGTTCGTGCCAGAAGGCACGAATTTGATTGGTCCATCAAAAGGCAGCAAAATACAAACAGCGATGCGTATAATACCGTAACTATTTTATGCATTCATAATAACGTAAACATTATTCAGTAATTAAGTGATTTCATTAGTTACATGTGTGTTATAAAAAAATTTTGTTTATCAATGGATGTTCATGAAATATTGCCACATTTTGATGATCCTCATAAAAAAATCGAGCCATATTACTTTCAATTTATACTTGGACTTTTTCTTTTATTCGAATACAATTTATTGAAAATCATGCTTAACATTAAAGAATTTTTAATTATTAAGTATATATGTATGTATGTAAAAATACTAATACGAGTATAGCATACTACGTACTGTGTAATAATCAGTTATTTCGACCAAAATCAAATAACAAATAATTCGTTTCGTAAAATGATAAATTTAAATCGATTATTTTACATAAATGTTTTTACAGTTTTTTACTTGATACTTCACGAAATACTTGTGCTATTTATAAAATAGATTGTTTATCGAATATTTTCAGCAAGTAATTTGAAAATAATGCTGTCTAAAAAGTTCTCAAAACGCCCAGGTTTGTTCTGTAAGAAGTGTTGCAGACTGATCGTGGGAGTTGGACCGAGAAACGGAGGAACGCGCGGACCGCGAACCGCCACAGTGTTGTCGACGAGAAGGATACACGAAGGCGAGAAATTCTTGTTTTTTTTTCACATCCGAACATCGAAAATCACGAGGAAAACGATGGTGGACGCACGTTCCGAAGGGTTGTCGAACGAATAAACTCGATTACCGTGGACACGTAAACCTTTCGTGGGTGAAGTGAAACACATGTGTCGGCCGAGCCGTGTTTTCCACTATAGAGTGCCCGTCCCGTGTTTGGTCCGTGAATATCTGGCGTTTAGAAAACGAAGTTGCTGGCCAGTCGTGATTATTCGCGGAAAATATAACGCGCTACGCTACGAAGACAACTATTAACGCGATCAGCCTCTTTTTCGAGATGGAATAGAACTCGTTGCAGAAGGCGGCAGTGCGTGGGTGGGTGGGTGTCTAGCGACTGCCACTCATGTATATCAAATTCCTTTTGGAATTTTACGTAAAATGTTGCTGTCAAGTCAATGATAACGCTCTTTCCAATTAAATATCCTTCTGTTTTATCTGTGCACGTTAATTGGCATGTTATCTGAACAGTTCAATTTGAGCTCAGGAAAAAATATTAGTTAAATATCAAAGCAACGCTGTTATCCACTGTCAATTTTTGCTACATGTCAGTTTGACAGTTTTCGAATGAACCAGAATAATAGAATCACATTTCTATATCATTACTGATTCTGTTGAGCCTGAAAGAAATCTGTATGTTGGGTCAATTTTGACATCATTGACAATAAACAGTTTTTCCATATCAACCAACTTGTTGCTTGGTTGTGTCATATGTATTTGATTCTATATACCAAGTTTCTTTTGTAAGAGATGCTTTCCTTAAAGTATGAAACAAGAATACTTTAGCCAGACTATCTATTGTCATTCACAGCTTAGATAAAAGGATCTTTAGAAGGTTTTACCTCATTTCTTTAACTGATATTGAGAGGCTAAAGTATGAAAGGTCAAGCGGAGAAAAATGGATATAGGTAAAGTGTCAGCATGCGTGAGAAGTCAGCAGAATGTCATGCTCACACAGGTCACGTGAGATGCACAACAGAAATGTGCTCACGTGATCCTTCTGCATTACACTCAACCCTTACCAAGGCAAATGGTAAAAATTCAAGCCCTCAGCCAACTCATCATCCAGAAACACGCATTGACAACAGTTTACTTCCAACTCCTGGTGGAAGGTTAAAATTTTTTAAAGATGGAAAATTTATTTTGGAGCTATCTCATCGTAGAGATGGTGAAAGAACTACATGGTTTCCAGTCCCAAAAAAAACATTTTGGCCACCAGCTAGTACAACTCCAAATAGGCAGGAAAGTTCTACTTCTCTTAGTGGTAAGTAAAAGAATAACATCATACTCGTATATTCTTGTAATCCTAATACTGTGATTGTATTTGCAGTGTCTGATGATAATTCGTCCGTACAATCAAGTCCTTGGCAAAGAGATCATTGTTGGAAGCAAGCAAATCCAAGACGTAGGATATCCATGGAATTTAATTTTTACTATCATAGAAATCCAAGGAACCGCGTGTGCGCGCATCCTCGCTTAATCGCAAGAAAGCGTAGACGTCCATTAGATCCTACTTCTCACCTACTTATTCCAGAATCAGTAACAAATTACACAAAACCAATACGAAAGGGAAACGGTACACCAACAGGGAAGGTTCTAAATATAATCATCGACAAATTAGCGCGCCTTCTAGATCCTAATGTCGTTTCACCTCGTAAACGAATTTTGCGTGAGTTGGAAAGAGTATCGTTAGAAGATCAAGCGTCTAAACGACGTGCAACACCACAGCCTGTTTGTACAACGAGTGCACCGACTGCGTCACCGAAACAATTATCGTCGTACAGCATAACAAGTATCTTGGGAGAAGATAAGCCAAGTCAGGAGCAAGGCTTTCTAAGAAATTTGTTGAAGCCGGATGACAGACAAACTGTGAAATACTCATCAAGTAATTCGTATCCAAGGGTACGAGTAGATCCATACATTGGTACCACGAATACACCTCTTCAACATCCACTGTATGGTGTGCCAATGTTACCTCCTGGACCATATAGAGCACCCTTATGGATGCATTATCCATCACCCGTCCATTACCCACCTACTATGCCATTGTATGCACCACCACCGCCTCACCCCCCATCTCCTCCAGTTCATCATTACAAAGACTACAGGGAACAAACTCTCACACCTCCTTCAGGTAGAACTTTGAAGACATTCTCGATTTCACTGCACAATATGTATATTGTACTAATTTTTATTATTTTACTTTATTTATTAGATATGCCTCTAAATCTGTCGAAGCATGCGGGTTGAATCTCAGGATCCTAAAAGCTGGTGCCTTATCAATGGACAAAACTGCGCAAACACTGCCCGTGCAACGACAATGCTAAATATTAGTATTTTTTTATCCATAAACAATAGTATCGTAGTAAGTAGAAACACGCAACCAGAAGGACAAAATCTGGATGCTATACTTGTACATACAAATGCATAAACTGTCAAGAGTTGGCATAGGTATTTTATTATTAATATTAAATTAAATCATGAGTAGTATTATGCAGTTTTAATTGTAATTAAAATTATGTGTGTAATACATAATTGAAACTATGTATGTATTACATACTCCTTTACTGTAGGTATGCTCACTATTTGTTTTTTCTGTTCAGTTTCAGAAAAATAAAAAATTTTAAATATTTAAATGAAGAACACATAACTGTGTTTATCATGAAATTTGTTTTATATGCGAAATTATTTTTACTACTCATGATTCGGGTACCGCGACGAAAGGAAAAGAGCATGCTCTCATCTTGTGCATCTCATTTATGCATTATCTTGTTATTCTTATTAATGTTACTGTCATTATTATCATTAATAAATGATACGACTATCCGTTTTAAAAGATTCATAAGAAAGACATAGAATTATGTACAGAACAGATTATTACCTATGTTTAGTATAAATAATTATTCCTATGAATAGTAATATGATAATAAATCTAGGTTAATAGCATCCACACAGTATACATTTATTTATATAATATTAATGAACAAAAAATTGCTTGGTAAAGACCGTGGGGTGTGCCTTAAATGATTACCTAAATTACAAGGAAGCTAAATTATGAACATTGTCACGGACGTGTATTATTATTACTACTACTATTACTATTATTACCTATGTACATATGAATATAACTTTGCGTTACGTATTTGCATCAAATCGACATATTCGTCACTATTTATTATTAGTCAGGCGCATTAGTAAACGTTTTACGCGAAAGGCAAGCTCACACAGGCTCTACAAACTAGTGAGTAATTTTACCTATTCATTTACATACACTTCTTTTTTATTAATTGAAACAGATGAAATATGTGACTGCGCGTAAGCAATTGTATAGAAAGACTAATTTCGTAAATATATAAATATTTCATATACTACACATGAGTTTTTTATTATCTCTCACCGTAAATACATATAAGTCTGATTGAATAAATTTATATTTGTTAAATAATTTAATCAATTTCTTCCTGTCTTATTGACTACAATTGCTAATACGAACATTATTAAAAAGCATGATAACCACACGATATGTTTTCATAGGAATTCAAATATCGCGGTTGTATTTGCGTGTGCGCCGGAAAAAATTGGCACTTCACCGTCTAGCTACCCCCACGCCCCGCTGGGGTAACGCAGACGCTGTCGAAGCCGCGCAATCGTCGGGTCTTGGTAGTATCCGACCCATGGCCTTGTTTTGTGGTATTCGTTGACCGGGTTGTGTCGTCGCGGATCCGCGCGTTTTCCATCGAAAATTCGTCAAAGTAGGTTCTCACGTTCAGCTGAAACGAGAGAGGAACCGCGCTTTGGATCACGATATCGTATGTCTCGGTGGACTTTCGAATGCACGCGGGTTTGGAGGAAAGACGGTGAACCGAGCTCCGGTAGAGGGGAGCAGGCAGTCCTGGCTGATCGTATATGTAGCCCGCTCGGCGAAATGAAAATGGCGGTGTTCCCGTATGAACGGAGCAACGGCCACTGACGATGTTCGTCACGGTAACGGACACGTGAGCCGAATCGAGTGCGGGTTACTCGGACGTCCCTTGTGTGCGCGATTCACGAAGACCATACAGTGTTTCCACGCTAGGCGGGAACGAGTCGGTACAGGCGCGATATAGGGATAGTCATCCGCGATCTTCTTTTTTTTTTATATACATATATATATAGTCGATCGAGGGACAAACAAACACGATGGAGTGACACCGCGAAGTGTTGACTCCGTGGACAAGTGGGAAGTGTCGGCTGATAGATTCGCGTAGTTGGAGGACGCGAGAAGCCTTCATGCCGATGCCGGCCGAATACCACGAGAACCACGGTAACCACGAGAACGCTAATTTCGCTCTCGGGGCCACACAGGACGCCAGCAACATGACGGCCAACATGTACCGGGTGGGAGGTAAGTAACCGCATGCATTCCGCCGGCTGATGGCCACGCGTCCACTCCCGAGAGCGCGGGGCTGTAATTAACCGGAGAAATTAATGTTTGCAAATGGTGATCGCGATGGCGTCCCCCCTTGTATCCACATTTTACCCGCGCTCTCGGCCCCTCGATTTTCCTCTCTTCATCTAGATCTCTCTCTCCCGTCTTCCTCTCTCCACCTCGCTCTTCTGGCGTCCTATACATACGTCTGCTTTCCTTCTGCTCTCCCTCTTTCCCCACTCTATCGTCCTTCGTCCAGGTCATGCTAATTTCTTGCACGACGAATCTCGATGATTAAAATTCGATAGTCAGATGTCTAGCTTGATTTTCGTTTTTTCGAAGCCGAGTCGATCGTCCCTCTAGATGGATCATCGAGGAATCTCAGAAACGCGCCAATGGTCCAGAGAACCATTAAATTTCTAATAAATACTTCAATTTCCTCGAGTGTTCGAACAAAACGAATATATCTAGATCTGCAGAGCGTTCAGTGCACGCTCACATCGTTAGAAAGAATTTCGAATTACCTATGCATTCCAGTTATTTGCATTTTTATTCATAATAACGCTCCGTATTTTCATTTCGTGAGATGCTCGTTTTTAGTACGCGGATATACGAGAACTTTTTCCGATATTGTGTGTGCCTCCCGTATCGTATGTATGTATTTTTCGGGACGATAGTATTACTTTATGTTTATATACCTTGAACATAAATGAATAACTGTTTTGCAAATAGATTGAAGTGTTATTTCATAGGAGTAACATTTAAATAACAATTGAACTTTTATCTACAAATAATAAATATATTATTGGATAAATATATATACGTTCATTAATCTTATACATAAATTTTAATAATAAAATAAAATTGAACATATTTATATACTAATTTTCACAGATCCATTAAATAGATTACTTTTTTTTCCCATATAGATTACGTATATTTTGAAACATCTTCCACATCTCCCTACCAGATTAGGAGGATAGAAGAATTAAATAAGGTATCAGTATAATTTCTTTCTTTGAAATGTATAGAAACTTTGGCTTTGCTTAATATTCCATGTATTTTTATATCATATTCATAGAATTTAAGTGATTTTTGAATACTCTTCATCTTTAGTCTCACATATATATTTTCTTTCAGACGGCAAGTGGAAATGTTGAAGCAAAAGTCATGTGCTTCTTCAGGCGGAGGGATTTACCTTCTACTTTAATAATGCTTGCAGATAAACATCAATGTGAGTCTATGAGTGAATTTCTGTTCTTCTATGAAGTGTATTTTTCATGCTACCCTTGACATTCTATTAAGAAACAAACATCTAATAAGGATCATTTGACATTTTTTTTTTTCAAATAATAAGCGTTAACAATCCAATTACACGAGAAATTCTAAAATAAAAAACTAGTATACTGATTGTATTGGGTAATGTTTAGACGATTGTATAGCTACATAAATGTAATGAATATACGAGAGCAATGTAATTTGTGTTGCTTCGCGCCATCGGACAGATCGATAGACATCCGCGAACGAAAGAAAATTGAAACGTACGTCTCTCGGCACCCCGCTAAAGATTAGTGGAACAGTTCGCGCGTGAGTTCTTCTTATGAACCTTACCGATAACGATGTCCTCAACGGTACATGTACCAGATACAATCGATAATCGAAAATTCGTGGGAAATTGTACGATACGAAAAGAAAAAGAAATACGGCATGCAACGACATGCGACCGTTACTGTTTACAATACCCATTATGACCATTAATGGTGCGCCAGTCTTCTTAGCGCTCAAGCTGTTCAAGTCGAGATGTGTCGCCAAAATCACAATCATACTTTTTATATTTCCAGTGGAAAGAAAAACAATAATACTGTCTGATCATTCCTTTTATTTGCAATGTTCTTACGTCTGCGACGATTATGCAAATAGAAGTTCAAAGACCCCGGCGCGCCAGGATAACTCCCTTTTGCGTGAAAGGCGACACACTTCAATATGTTAGAGAACATACACAGAAAAATAACGCATCTCGTAGGGAAAAAGTTCGCTTGGTTCTCTGAACCTTTCTCGATTTTTCCTTTGCAGTGGGAAAGATAATGAGACGCGGGGATTTGGGGGTGGGAATGTATAATAAGTAAAGTTGGGGGGGTGGCAGAGGGGTGGAATGGGGGTTGTATCGATCTGCCGGGGGTGGGTCGGGGGTGGTGCACCCGCTAGCCCACCAACGACCCCCCCTTTCTACCTCTCTCACCCGAGTCACCCCCCTCCCCTCGCCTCTCCACCTCTTGCCTCCCGCCACCCTGAACTAAATGAATGACTGACGCAGGGATTGGTTGGGTATGTGTTACGTGTACTCGGGACACAGAGCTCGTAAGAACACCGATAGAGAACGTACACGATAACCAGGCACATAGACATGTACGAATAACGGGCAGAGAGAAAACAGGAACATACACATACATATACACACCATGCACACGCGTATGTATGTGGTGCCTGGGCGAAAATGGTGTGGGCCCTACTAGCCATCTTCTCTTTCCCTCCCTTCTCTTCTTTCCTGTCGTATGTATGTATGTATGTATATGTAACGCGAATGTACACCCTCTCTCTCTTTCTCTTTACACCAGCGTCCCTTTCTACCTCTCACCCTCTCTTTCACTCTGACTCTATGTTCGTCCACTGGTATTTGCTACGAATCGGGCTCCCTCCTCCTTCTCCTCCTCCTTCTCCGTCAGCTCTGTACCTTGCTCTTCTGTACCTCGAATTTCACGAAAAAAAAATTACAAAAAATACACGAACCTTTGTCTTGCCGAGAGTCGATATTTTTATGCGTGGAATGTATGAAAAGGTTACAGCAAGGACATGCGTCCCCGGAGATCGGATGCTTCCAGAATGTCCTTGTGCTCCTGTCCAGAGTGATTATAATCGAAAACCCAGAATTACGTATATCGTTAGTTTCCAAGAATTTCTCGATGTCGATTGAGATTCGTTGAGGTCAAAAATAGTATCCGCTTCTGCATCGGTATTAGTAGTATTTTCACATAAATGTATCCGCGAATTCTCACGGTCTCAGAGTTTGTACATTTTTCGAACGATCGTTTTTCTTATGGTCCCGGGAGAAACTGATTTGATAACGGGCGTATTGAACGAATACCATTATATCGTGAAACTATATTGTGTATACTATATATACATATATTACTATTTATTCGGTGGTTTATCGTATAATTCAAGCATACAATGTACACGGAATTGTTATTGAAATTTTGTGAATGGTTTTTATTTATTCATCGTACAAGGTTATACGAGTACAATGCAGTTTGTAAATAGAAACGCGATTGGAATTGGTTGACAGAATCAAAATTATAATATTGAATTTGTGGTCACATTATTATAGAGATCGGTTATTGTGCAACTGTACGGGAAGAAATTCCAATGGGGTGACAACCATTTGAACAATATTTGGATCTGATAATTGTTTTGAGTTCTTTTTTAATTACAAGGGATAAGAGCATGTATTAAAAAAATTGTATTAAAGAGAGAACAGTGTAAAATAGTAGAGTGGGTTCTGTAATACAAATTGCAGTGGCAAGCGCGGAGCAGCAGAGGTCAGAATCCCCTGCGAACACGCAGAGTCAGAAACTCGAGAATCCAGATACTGCTAAGGAAATGACTAATAAAGATGGGATCGGGCCCAAAGTGATGAACAAAGGGGGCGGGAAGGGTGGCTGGCTGAAGGCCCCACTGTCGGAGGCCCAAGAGCCTCATGGTGAGTGAGCAGTCAATTAAAGGGTGCCCCTTACGGATGAATCTTCATGATATACATACATATGTATATAATATGGGTATATAAAGTATAGAATGTGGATTTTATCTATCTAGATGTGAGTAAATAGTCCGTTCATTCTTGTAGAACAAATCCAAATGCAAATAAAAAATTATACATAGTGAGCACTTTTCGTGCAATCTACGTCATTTACGTCTGATAAAAGTGTAGGTTATGGTACAGGGATTCTTTGATTACCAGCCCATAATGCGCACCTTTTAATTGTCTCATTAGTCTCGTGTAGAAGCCAGTGATGATGTAAGGCTAATGATCTAGCGGCGGGATTTATAAACTTCTTTGTAATCTTGGTGAATGCCATAAGTTTAGGCGAAATTCACTGTAAGGCCAAAGAGACAATAAATTGGGTTCTGATATGGCCTCTTCTTAGAAAGTTATGTAGAAAGGGGTTCAAACGTTTCCCAATAAACGCGAAACTTTACGAACCCATACATTGCGTGACGGTACACTATGATGATCATTCTCATTTCTTACCCTGTAATTTCTATCTTTTTTTTTTGTATTTTTTTTTCTCTCCCAGAGAGATCATTGCTATGATCCGTTCCCGAATTCCAAGCGTCTAAACTTAGTCCTCGCAGTAATTGAAATAATTTTAATCGTTATCCAAACGAATCATCATCGTCATTAAAACAAAAATCCCGCCGCACAAAGTGATAATTCTTTAGTAATCTGAGGCTTCATTAAACAATTTTACATTTCTTCAAAGAATTCATTTTCTTTCTGTTACCATACGGTAATCTACCATTTAAGATTGCTTTTATTTCTTTTTTTTTTGTTGCCCGCTCTTGCTGACATGTTTAGTTGAGTGTTGTAAGTTTTAATTGATTCTGCCACATTCCTGCGTTTCATTTACACTTAATTTGTCTGTGTTGAAAGAAAGAAGAAAAAAAATATGAGAGACCAGAACTGCATGAACAAATTTAATGGCACTTAGGAGGAATTTCTACATTAGAAAAAGATATTTCTATGTTACGATTTCATTAACACCATCAAATTATGCTGAGATATCTAATCAAAGTCGCAAGTAATATTATGTTAACATTTAAAGCAATGAATTTATTAAAATGTTTCAAGTATTCAATGTTTTTAGTATCCGTTTTATTTTCTTCGTTTTTACGTGAGATATTTTTTTATTCAAGCTTTTTTCTACTTATTAATCTGAACATCATCATGGCAATGAAAGATATTCCAATCGGAATTGTTTCTACACAGGGATGGAAGAGAACGTAGTAGGTGCTGGAGGTGTTACAGAATTAAGTTCTAAACAACGTCATCAAATGAAGCACAGAGAACTATTTCTATCGCGTCAGGTGGAAACAATGCCTGCAACGCATATAAGAGGCAAATGCTGTGTAACATTGTTGAACGAAACGGAATCTCTGCTAAGCTATTTAAATAAAGAAGATTCTTTCTTCTATTGCTTAGTATTCGATCCTGCACAGCGTACATTGCTTGCTGACAAAGGTATTGGCCGAAGAAAATTTCGAACGTTACATTTACGCGTCTATCGTGTCCATTTAATCTTTAATTTGTTTATAATCTTGCAGGTGAAATTCGAGTTGGCAGTAGATATCAAGCTGATGGTATAGCGCCATCTCCGCTCACACCTGCTGAAAGGGAATCGGATCCTCGCAGGTTGCAGGACTTAGAGACTTTGGTTTGGACACCGCGACATTCGCTAACAGACCGGCAAATTGATCAATTCCTCGTCGTCAGTAGATCCGTAGGCACATTTGCAAGAGCTTTGGACTGTTCGTCTTCGGTTAAGCAGCCGTCTTTGCATATGTCTGCAGCAGCTGCATCCAGAGACATTACTCTTGTAAATACCGTTACATCTTAACGTACATCATGGCAATGTAATATATTATTCTTCAACTTGTAGAAATAACTTGTCCCTGGTTCCGTTTGTAGTTTCACGCGATGGACACCTTGCACCGGCATAATTACGATGTCGCAAAGGCAATGTCATCTTTAGTGCCTAGTACTGGTCCAGTATTATGCAGAGACGAAATGGAAGAATGGAGTGCGTCTGAAGCAAATCTTTTCGAGGAGGCTCTCGACAAATATGGAAAGGATTTCGCAGATATCCGCCAAGACTTTGTAAATATACACGCATATTATAAGATAACCAACATAAGACTTGAATCTTCGAGTTTTATGACAGTGAAATACGTTTGTGTTTCAGCTACCATGGAAAACATTGAAGAACGTGATCGAATATTATTACATGTGGAAGACAACGGACAGATATGTACAACAGAAGAGGGTAAAAGCTGTAGAAGCTGAAAGTAAATTGAAACAAGTTTATATACCAAATTATAATAAGACAGCCCCACCCACAACTGCACCTTCTGCGACAACGATCGTACCTCTTGGTAACAGTAATAGCAACAGTAACGGGAAACCAACTAGTGTTCTTAATGGCAATAGCAACGGTAACATGACGACTGATAATACTGGTATATTGATGGTTGGAGTTGGTGGTAAACCTTGCGAGAGTTGTCAAGTTATGCAGAGCCCGCAGTGGTACGCCTGGGGCCCATCGCATATGCAGTGTCGTCTGTGTCAATCCTGTTGGACGTACTGGAAAAAATATGGTGGTCTTAAGGTACATTTGTACATCTTTCTTTTATATACCGAAGATATTTAATTGTTCTTCAAGATTACTATATTTTACCATTACATCTAGGTTCCATCGCGTATCGATGATGTTGATCTGGAACGAAAAAGGGGCGGTACAGGTTCGGACGAGGAGAGTAAAGGAATCGGCGGTGCGCATAGACCTCACCGATGTAGTATTCCTTCATGCGGGAAAGAATTCAAGCTCAAGGCACATCTTAGTCGCCATTACGCGAGCGCTCACGGTGTCGATTTACGTGGGAGCGGAGCAGGCGGAGGTGGCGGCGGTGGCTCTCCTAGACCTGTGATGAAAACACGTTCTGCATTTTATTTACGTACTTCAGCATTAGCACGAGCTGCACGGCGATTGTGTGCAGCGCAGTTACGCACACGTCATGCGGCCCGAGCACCTCATCAACCTGTAAACGCAGCACCACTACGACATCTTTGCGCCTCTCCTCAATTGACATCAAAAAGTCCCGCAGAATTACGCATATTAGCGCGAGCAGTACGACCTCGACCCCGTCCTCGTGTTACTGACATAGCAACGCGTTTAGGTGATCATCCTGCTCCTCGACAACCTGGGGATTGGGATTGGTTAGCCCTTACGGCACCGGCACAACGAAAACAACCTGATCGAGTTTCCTTTCCTAAACCACCAAAAGCACCAGGTATATACATACGTGCATAACTTTCATCCGTATAAAACTCTGTTTATAAATTTTATATCAGTTTATTAAGGTTTTCATAATCGTGTGCTTACAGACGGAAGCCTTTTGTATGAAAGAGTACCAAACAAATCTGAAGTGGACAGGCTGCCAGTGACTCCGCCTCAACCGCAACCAAACATGCAGCCGCAACAAACGATCCTAAAACGCACAAGACCTCCATTTGATGAAATTAACGGATCAGATGGTAAGTTTCAGGATCATGCATCTATTAATTGTATTTATACAAGTTCCAAGTCCTAGTACTGAATGTGGTCTCTGTTTACTGGCTTCTACTCTGATGTGGATTGGGATGAAGGTAAACTAATTCAATGCCTAAGAGTCTAGGTATACAATCGAACGAATAATCAAAGTCGTACGTTGTACAGTTTAAACGTTACTTTCCAAAGGAATACACACAACATCGGTTGAATTGTTTTATGTCTTCGTGAAAGTAACCGCGCTTCTTGATTGAATGTTGTACAAGTCTATTTTTTTTATTGTTTGGTATAGGTATTGCCCTAAGTGCAGGGCTCCCTGGTGGACCACCTGCAAAAAGGGCTCATCATTCTCAGCAGCTACATCCCAAACATACTTTGGAACATACCACACCTCCTGTTCTTCCACTAGCGCCGCCGCTCAATGGAAGAGCCGCGCACCCACATACCTTGCCTCACGGACCACCCTTGTCTAGAAGTAATGCGCGAAAACAAGTAATTTCATGGATGGACGCACCTGATGATGTTTATTTTCGCGCTTCAGATCAGACCAAGTTAGTACCTATAATTTTATCTAATGTAATCTAAATGCCTTGCTGATCTGCTGATGAAATTGATTTATTATCACCCTGTAGAAGACTTAGAAGATCCCTTTCATCCGTGGAACTTAGAAGGGCAGCGCGCAAACCGTGGCGTAGATTACCGGCTCCTTTACATCCTCCTCATCCACAGAGAGCAGTACGTGGTGATGACATGGTCGTCATCTTGGACTGAGTCAGTAATACAATCAACTAGACGAACTGATCAGACCGGTCGGTTTGCTATGCGGGAATCATGCTGTTATTGTAATTTTAATGCCAGAGTGACCACTGTGAAGACATCCCCAGCTTTATGTAATTGTCATTGGCAGCTCTGACGTTGAGCAAGGACTAATTGCTGTGTGGAATGTTCTCAAATCATTGTAGAGACAGCAACTCGCCGAAACTGAAGGCCTCGCTTAACTGAATTTTCATGTTGCATTGACATCGCTGAAAAATACCTTCACATGTAATGGACGATAAACGGCGTTCAACTCTGGAAACGAACATTCATCGAATCTTTAATGAAAGAAAAAAAAAACAATTGAAAATAAGGAATCAAGTCATTCACCGTGAAACATGATTTTCTATTCGTATTAATTAATTATTGTTGTTATTAATAATAATTATTAATAATTGAATGTATATATACATACATCATACTACACATTCATACATGCATAACCAAGCAACACACACACACACACACACCATACACAACACACACACATACACATAAACACAAGTGTCCAACGAGTGCTGGGCACAAGTTTCGATAAATTGGCCCATACCACGTGCATCAGCTCATGAATGTTACGGCCGTGCGCGTAACAGAGACGAGTGCGAGAGATAGGGAGAGAGAACGAGATCGAGTGAACGTGAGAGAGAAAAAGAGAGAGAGAACGGTTCTGATGAACGTACGGGAGAAAGAAAGAATGCTCATTGTGAATATTTTTATTAAATTTTCAAGTTTGATGACTTCCGTCGCAACAATTAATAAATAAACATAAGCATAAGTGGAAGAATATACTAGTCCTTTCTACGCACAATCCAATTTATATTTACAATCACTTATTTATGAACAACGCATTAGAAACATTGTCATCGAAGTTTGCTCACTGAAGAAAATTCACGCCATTTGCATCAGCCAGCTAAATTGTGTGGATTGGTGTGGATATCTGTTGACAATTTATTCATATTCCAACATGGGGTCTCTTACGCATGCTCCGGGGGTTCAAAGACCCTACGATCTCAAACACGGTTTCTCCTGCATGATCCAGGGGTTCTAAGACCCCACGTCTCACGTAGATGGGGTCTCTTCCGTATGCTCCGGAGGTTCTATGACCCCTCTTAGCAAGCTACACACAGTCATCTCACCACCGACTAGGTATAGAATCGACCTATGATACAATGGTTTTTCAGCACCAACTGGGGGGGGCGCCACAGACGTGCACGACATTCTGCGGGGGTTCTGTGACCCCACCGGGTTTCCGCCATCTTGGATTCAGAAAAAAGTGCCGGAAAAATTGGAGGAGACCCCGTGTGTAAAGTGGGGCCATAGAACCCCCGGTGGTGACATCAGAGACCTCGTGTGGTGAGAACGTGGGGTCATAGAACCCCCGGAACATACGTCAGAGACCCTATGAGCGGCAAATGTACTTGAACCACTACGTTAAGTTAATATAAGTTAGACTTATATCATAATCAGATACGAATTTTTCTAATGTTAATTACATATCCACTTTTCAAATCATCATTACATATTCATCTGATGGTAATTACAATTAATTAATTAATAGGCTAACTAAACCGAAGATAATATAGAGCTAATGGTTGGGAACTTTGCATTCATTTCATAACAGCGGGTATTGTCCGATAAATTTAAACAAACAATATGTTTTTTAATTCACAATGACAAATATATTCATTATATACGAAAATTTATCAAAAACTTCGTATGTCACGTGAAACCATTTCCAATTGATATGGTACATTTGTAGTTCTATGTCCTACTGTTGAACTAAATAGGTTCTTGTATACACTAGCGTCGAACCTAGACAGGTAGATTCCTACTATTATAACGGAATTGGCCGGTTGGTGCAGCATCATACTCGGGCACAAGGAATTCCCGGATTGTAAGGCAAAAGGATGATGACTATTCTACGCCTAGTCGGTGGTTTCAGGATTCAGAAAATGTAGCGGGTACACAGAAGTTTGATATCAGTACAGATGAGATATAAGAATAGACCTAACGTGCAATGTAATTTTCTGTCTCATGCTTCGGAGACGTCAGAAGCACCCTTACCATTTCAGTGTTCAATTTCCGGCTAGCGAAACCGGGGCAATAATGTATGTATGGATCCCTATATGTAGTCACGGGTGTGTGTGTATGCTGTGCATCATCACAGTATCGAACGTAGTTCCTGAAGTCGGAAACTTTATGTGGAGTGCACTCGAATCAGCGAGATTTTCCTGGGACACCAAGTCCCATAAAATGTTAGGTCTATTCTTATATCTCGTTTGTGATATCACCAAGTTAAGAGATGGATTTACCGGTATTTTTTATTAAACGAATTTATACATTGCGTAAAGACAAATTACGCAGCTGGATCATCACCCTTAGTAGTTCGTGTGTAAATCAGTTGTGCATGGTGCTGCACGACCTGTTTGATAAGTCCTTTCTGTTGCAATTCGATCAACGCCCTCCTAGCGAGCGATCCGCGAATTTTTAACCTTTCGCTAACGATCGATGGTGTGATCAGTTTATACTGTGGTACTTCCTTCAGCAATTTGTCATATGTGCCCTTGTCAAATAAGACTTGATTGTTTAACTTATCGCGTACTTTTCCTTTGGACCACTTCTGCAACAACAAAAGGAACAAACATAAGATTCATTCTTTCAAGTCAAAGTTAAAGACATTTGTTAAAATATTAATTCAGACTCATTAAATCAGCTTTTAACTTCCATGGTTTGTCAATGAGATATGTTTTCATCATTAATGTTTATTTAATTATCATTCCATGCTATATAAGAATTATAACACAAACCTTCTTTTTAGCTTTGCCACCAGATCCTCCTTCCTTCTTCTTCTGTGTCTTCTGTGGTTGTTTAGAAGACCCCTTTGTATCCTTTTTAGGCGGCTGAAATGAAAAACAAAATTAGACAAAGCACTCAACAACAAATAGGTGCTAGGTTTAAGAATTGATTAAGTATCAGGCTCATTAAATCAGTGTTTTGCTATCATGAATATAGTCTAGAGAGAGTTCTTCATCATGAGAATAATTTCAAAACGGAAATATTACCTGTTTTGTTACATATTTTATAACATTAACATGCACTTGGAAGAATTCTCTGCCGTGTCAACAAACCAAGCATACCAGGAAAGGTTAGTTGTCCACATATTAATAAAATTGAAGTTAACTTCCACTTTTTACGGTATATTACAATTAAGAATAATGTACAGAACTGCTGAAAGATAATTTCAATTGAATACAAAAGACTCGAGGTTTAGTATATCGAACGTATTGTATACACCATGTGGACGATCATTGGCACAGGTCAACCACTTACTTTCACGTGATATTTATACAGACCAGCACGAATTTATTTAATCGAAAGTACCACTGTGCACAGTCTATAGCTTCTATTCCACTCGGAAAGTCATTCTAAATAAATATAATGAGAAACAAAATAGCGAAGTGGTAGTGCGAATACTCACCATGATGGCTGTCGACTCGGAAAGAAAACGGAAGTGTGTTGATCGCCATCTCTGAAATTTATCTCTGCAGCGACCTCTGTTTCACTACATTGATCAGTGTTATTACCAATTAAAGGACAATACAATTCAAAAAATCAGGATAATAATGATCAAATAATTGTATTGCTAAATTAAAATTAATTTTTCTGCTGAATAATTAGTAGAATCGTAAAAAGAACATATTGCACGTGCTGTGTGTAATTTGATGTGCTGTCAGTAGGGATGATTCGATACAAGAGAATACAAGTAAATACGAGTACATTACCCGATATTGTTGTTTCAATACCGAGTACTTTTGGTATCCATACGTACGGTTGAGATACCAAGTAGGTATCGAATGGAGTGAGTATCAACCCATCAACATTTGATATTGTAATTACTTTCAACACAAAAGAATGTTGTTTATATTAATAATTAAGCAACGTGTACTTAAATATTTTCAATATTAAAATAATATAGGTATATATGGTTAGGTGTGAGCTTCCAAAAATGGTATTTCCAAATATAGAACACGTTTTCCTGCATTGTTCCCTGCAGCATCTCCATCCTGTCAGTTGGTTAGGACCACTGTGCAGCCACTGCACTGCAGTGCAGTGTGCTCCAGTCAGCCCCAGTGTGCCCACTCCAAATTGCTCCGAGTGGCTGCAGCGTATCAAGCATGGCGCTGCACCGAGCGTTTACACAGTCGGATTTTCTACCTTTTTGACACATTTCCAACATGTACTCACTTTAAGAATTCCATTTGATGTTAGATCGATTGCGAGCCTTCGTTTTTATACACAGTTTCGTATTGGAAAGGTAATATATATCTTTGCTTTGATTATCGTTGGTAAGGTTAAGATACTTTTTTTGGCGGCGGTGATAGCTGGTAGAGCGTGAAAAGGAAAGAAGTGAGAGCGTTTCGTTCTGGGTCTGCTAGTGGACTCGTCAGTGAGGCATTTAGCAGACCCTGCCTTAGACGCGGGGATATTCGATGGTCGGTTAAGGACGTATATAGTATCATATAATATATAGTATATAAACGAGGAAGGATTCTGGATTCAGGTAGTTGCGGGAAAGATGTCAACTCGGTAGACCTCTAGTGGTGAATGTAGGGACGTAGTGCCGCCACACTTTCACTGTTGCGACGTGTCATTTATGTTTTTATTCGGTTTAAGTTTTTAACAATCCGTAGTGAGTGTAAGTAAGTTAGTTTAACGTGGTTTGCCCTTTAAAACGGTAGCTTCGATTCAAAAGAATAATTTCTGGCATTATACCGGTGTCATTGATTGTTAAACGAAGCTGTCTCTAATCAGCTGTGTGATATCAGTGTTTTAGGTATTGACATATTTTTAGCTGTGTTTGACAAATATTCTTATCAAAACGTCAAATTCGCGTGTAAATATTCACATAAACGTGTAAATAATAGTAATCAAGTAATGTTTATTCAGAAAAACAATATTTGAATGTAACATCCCAGATAGCACATGACACCTTAAAGACGCCCATTTTATAGCTATTTCAGGTGTAAGGCACCTTTGAGTCATCTTCAAGGTGTCATATGCTGTCTGGGATATGTGGTACCTAATTTATGAAAGAATTGATTTCTTTTTTGTAGGAACATCTTTCATTTAAGTAGTCCTGGCCTTCTTGGAAAATGCTTCCTCTTTCGCACAAAGACTCAAAAAATCTGGGTAGCAGGATAAAGGAGAAGCTACTGGGATGGAAACGCTTAATATTTTCGGACAAAAATACCAGGAATTTATTTTTGTTTCTACTGCTCAATTTGTCCTTTGCCTTTGTTGAATTATTGTATGGAGTATGGACAAACAGTTTGGGCTTGATATCAGATAGTTTTCACATGTTCTTTGATTGCACTGGCCTATTATTTGGTCTGGCTGCATCTGTTATTACAAAATGGAAAGCAAATGAACGGTACTCCTATGGATATGTTAGAGCAGAAGTTTTGGGAGGATTTGTTAATGCACTCCTCTTGTTCTTCATTGCTCTCTTCATTCTGTCAGAGGCTGTTGAAAGGTCCATTGAGCCACCAGAGATCAAACATGAGAGGCTTCTTGTTGTATCTGTTCTGGGATTGTTAGTAAATTTAGTAGGAATATATGTGTTCCATCATGGACATGGACACGGCCATGGAATGGGGCATGGTCATTCTCATTCTCATAGTGGCCATGGACATTCTCACACAAACCATAATCATAGCCACGATCATCATGATATTGAAATTGATCCCTCATTCAGTGGCACAAATTCTCAGATCATGAAAGGAGTGTTCCTGCATATTTTAGCAGATACGTTGGGATCTGTGGGTGTTATTATATCAGCAATACTGATGCGCCTGTTTGGATGGTTCATAGCTGATCCAATTTGTTCCATGCTGATTGCAGTATTGATAGTTTTAAGTGTACTTTCATTAATGAAAGACTCGTGGGAAATACTAATGCAAAGACAACCAGCAGCATTAGATCATGTTCTGCTACAGTGTTATAACAAAGTGACTCAATTGGCTGGTGTATACAGTGTACAAGAACCGCATTTTTGGACCTTGTGTTCGGATGTATATGTTGGCTGCTTGAAGTTAGAAGTAGCTAGAACAGTAGACCCCAAGTATGTTGTGGCACACACACAAATGATATTCCAAGCAGTTGGAGTAAGGCATTTAACTGTACAGCTGGATTATGCACCTATGTGATCTATGAAAGACATTAATGTCGTAAAGTGTTCTTCTAAGTGCTCCAAGACTGTATCTGCTTGCGGGGTCTGTCAGAAGCAGGAAAGGAATGCAGCTCTAGTGCAAAATGTTTTTGCCATTTTAAAATTGTGCAAATGTATTGTTCTAAATAACAGTGAATATCATCTTGGTTTACAAATTGTTTGAGACTAGATCCAGTTTTTAGAAATTCATGAAACATGTGACACAGGAAAAAAACGTAAATATATTCCTAAGGACTGCATTCCATTTACAAATTCGTTCCTTCATTTTTGCTACTGTGTATATAGACATTGATTCACATGTATCTCTCTACTGTACATTTCTTTATCAGATTGTAATTTATCTTCGTTTCGCGGGAACCATGACTTTGTACTACTTGCTCACTAGCAGTCACGAATCAAGTTTTGTATTATCGATTCAAGCCTTTGTATGAAAATGCATTTAAATCTTAAAGGAATTACTGGTGCATACTATTAGGTAGACGTTTTTACCTTCGACGGGCTTGATTAAGCCTCGACTCTAACATTTTTATCGATTTTTTGTTACCGCATAAGTTTGTGTATATTGCAGTTTATAATGTAAAATCTGAGCTTTATGGTTTGGTATGTCGTGACGAGGTCGAAAAGAAACTCGTAACCACCGCGGCGGCCTGCAAATTTATAAAATGAAATATAAATTGATATTCTTACGTTTACATAAAGTTATACTTTCCTCAACATTGTAGTTACTTTGTACATCCTGTTCGTGTTAAGTGGTCTCATAATTTGGACGATACTCAACACGTACAGGACAATACTCATGGAACCCTCACTCTAGAGCTCAGATGAATTGCGAGAAAATATCAAAATATATGTACTTATTATAGAGAATTTCGCTAAAAAATGATGCATTAACATTTTACTACGTGAAATCGGTCATCGTGTCTTCATCATTTCCATGAAAATTGTAATACCTCTTTGGAGGGCGATTGCCGAGTTAGATTAACAAATGATTTGTAATCGTAAATTATAAGCATGATCAGGACATTCCACTTAGCCGAGGTATGTGATTTCTATACTTCGGGGTTGTGATTGACGTAGGCCAAAATCTTCTTAATAGAATTAAACAAAACGTCGATAGAAATGAGTAACAGTAATATAGCAAATTTTTCTATCGAGGATACAATTGTACATGTATGAAACAAAACATGATTTGCGATCCGGCAACACTTCTGCTTACAAAGTGTGATGCGATTACCAAGATGAAAGTGAACGTTGTTACGTTTTTATTAACATTATTGTATAGATGGAAAATGGAAGAGAATATTCTCAGTGTCGGCAGAGTGTAAATAATAAACAAAAGTACCCATACTAATCTTTGATCCCTCTTTAATATTCACTTGGTTCCTTGTATTTCGTTGTCGGGAAATATCAACCGGTCGGGGACTTGAAACACATATTACATTTATTTGAAGGATATGTATACACATATAAATACATAAATATTTATAATAAAATCGCTGAAGCTGATTCCACACGTGAGAGAGATCGTTGGATGCGTCGGACGACACGCGTCGTGGTGTCAGCTTCAGTCTGATCGTGCTATATCGGTTTTCTTCGTTAAAACGGCTTGCAAATGTAACAGATCGTACCTTTAATATCTCGTTTGTTTCCTATGGCGTCAATCAATGCGTCTTTTATATACATATAGCAAACTATCAAAAATGAAAAATCGTGAGGAACGCTCACCCCTGGTCATACTATCGAGGGAATTATACGAAGCGTTGCGCGTCGACTCTGATAAAAGATTATAGATGAACAGAGCCCGAGGATATCGCGGAGAACAGGCTCGGATATCTGCACAGTTATAGTTTTAAAATTACAATTAATTTTGCAATTAAACGTTGAACAATCGGCGAGTAACACTCCGTATGGGTCCCTCGCGATTGGACGAGAAAAGGTAAATCGAAAAAACATCGTTTCGTTCACGAAAAAAGGGGCAGCGTACATTGTGTGTGTGGAACTGTTTCCCGCGTAAAGCTGAACTGAAACCGATCGAATTGTCCCGCGTTCCTTTTCAGGTGCATGGCAGTATAGCGTTTCCCGTGGTTCCCGCTGGCAGGAGTTCGCGAGAAAATCGCTTGAAATCGCACCTAACGTTCGTTCGGCGATCAGTCGATTCAATAGAAATCGTCGTAAAACCGCACGCTTACCCTACGAAGATTAACGAACTTGTGATCGATACACCGGCATAGATCGCGCAGTGATGTTTACGATTTTACGATTTTGGCAGTCGTGTTGCACGTGTCTTCGATCGTTAAAGGTATTGGTTTTATTTTATTGTTTTTTTATACAATAGAGTAAACATTGTTCTTTATAATAGGTACCACAAAATTCGAAAATCCGCGGTCCGGATACGTTTCTCTACCTTCTACCATATAGAATATAATATCTATAAAATTTCTTCAAGTCTCCAACAACGCGCCTCGTCCCTCGTAAAGCCATTTCGCTCTTGGATCGTCGATTGCTCTTCAATCGACCGTAACATTTGATAATCGTGATCAGAATATACTAATAATCATAGTAATAATAATTAATGATGATGATCGTAATAATGACGATAATAATATATTACTCTGAATCGTATTTTACAGTCCACCTAGTAACAACGAACGTATCTATTTTGCAACAGCCTCTTTCATTCGTTTTTGTTTGTTTTTTCGTTTTGTTTAAATATCTTTCGGTAACGCGCATGCACGCGTGCGTTTGATTTGGTCGATTGCAAGATAATTTAACCTTGTTTCGTTTAATCATTCACCTCCACACCTCCCTTCCGAAAAGGACGCTATCTCTTTTAAAACAAAGATTACTTCCCTACGATTTCGAGTTCCTCTCGCTTCTCGCGCGTTTAACAGGACCATCGAGAATAGCTCGATAATAACGGCTAATAACGCCTACGATCTCTACGTGATCTATCGTTTAGGAGTGCGACCACGTCGCGGAAAAGAAAATCACAGTAAAACGAAGATCCACAAAGTGTCGGGCTTCATTACGATCCTCTTTGTCCCTCGACGCCTTTGCCGTCGTGAATAATCTTTCTTATCCTAGATTGCCTCTTATGGCTAAAATCGTCGACGATACACGCGCGATCGACGGTACTCGGATTCGCTTCTTCCTAAAACTACATTCTTACGCACATACTCATGCTAGTTCTCTTTCTTTTATTCCTCTCCAAGATCCGTTTCACCGGATCGATCGATATCCAGATGGTCTCGCGTAACCAACATGGATGCTCAATGTTCGACTCCAAATTGAATTTTCCCCGATCTCTATATACCCTCATCTGATGCCCATCGTCTTCGTCTTATTCAAGATCAATCTCTCCGTCGTTTCAGCGTTATATCGTTCCTTCGGTCAACGAGTCCTCGTGAGCAGACAACTAAGAATCATTTATGTCTCGTGGATCCGATTTTCACTTCTTCTTGGCCTTTCCGTTCTTCTGAATCTTTGTGATCTTCAGTCTACAGTTCGATCCGCCGGTGTACACAACCTCCGCCCTGCCGCCGTCCTCTACCGCGGTGACCAGAGCTTTCACCGACTTGACGTGCACGTCCTTGGCGCTGATCTCCAACGACGTGCCTGGATACCGATCCCTCACGCATTTCCCTATACCAGCGGCCTGGGTGTCGGTCAGCTCGACACCGTCCAGACACAGCCAGGTGAGATACTGCAGATGCGTGAGTATCGTCTGCACGAAAACGTGCTCCGTCTGCACCTTTTTCGCGCTGTCCGTCACGATCAGGCCGTTCGCCTTCAGGAAGCTCAGATTGCACAGCTTCAGGTACTTGGCTATTTGTCTCATCGTTTTCTCGCTGTCCTCCAGAGTGATCCGCCAGAAATTGATTCTCAGGGACTGAAGATTCCTGAAATGAGAGGACAGACAGCCGAAGAACTGTTGCAGGATCTTGTCATCGATGAACAACAGGGACCCGCTGCTGCCACCGATGGTCGACTTGTCCAAGGAGAGGTCGAGTTCGCTCAGCGCGGTGAAACCAGCGAGGAACGGCAGTAGAAGGGGCCCTCTGAGCGCCAGACGATCGTTCACTGTCACCTGGAATTAGAAGCGATGTTCTTAGGCTTTGTTCTTGGTAATTTTCTCCTTTCTTTCCTTTTCGTTTGTTTTTTCGGCGCCCGTTTGTAGGGGGCCGGGTCGACGAGTAACGAAGACGAATGGGAACTTTCGGCGGGGGCCCTCGGACGAATTCTAATCATCGGACGTGTCACGCGGAAAGACTGGCAAGTGCTGTCGCGTTACCACGCTAGCGGAGACGGAATAAAAATTCGAGTCGTCAAGGTTACCACGTCGACGATCGTATCATCCGATCGGTGTGGGAAGTGACCTTGTTACCATCGCCACAACGATTCTTCTTCGTCGACCGTAGGCACAGGTAGTCTTTTTCGTTCTGTTTTCTACAACCGCGTAATTCTCCGCTCACGACATATAGATTGTGATCGTCGAATTCACGACGGATCACGGTCAGTCCTATTGGTTCGCGGCTGCGCGACGGCCCCCGGAAACCAGTTCTTCGACTCTGGACGGACAACCGCGGACCAGACCGCGAACACCGAATCACCGACGGACTCGAATTACGAGTCACGCCGATCCGATGCGACGCGAGCTCGAGTGTCTCGAATGGTCCGTGTCAGATCCTCGGAAACTCGATACGTCAACTTGCGTTCCGCGTCACATTCCGTTTCTGGTACCTACACGCCTATTTACTTAGCCGATATACAGAGGACTCTAGGGGGGAACTATCGATGGGCAAAGCGTGTTCCATCGAGGAATACACGTTTCCTTCATTTTCGAATTGTCTACGAAACCGAGAGATACTCTTGCTCTCCGCGTAATTCACGTTAAGTACGTGCAAGGAACGTACTGTAATTTTATTCACTCATCCCCGAATTCTTCGACGATATGTTCCCGCGGTTCTAAATCAAAATCCTTGTTCGAACAAAGAAGAAACTCAAGATGACTTTTCGTCTAAGTGGTACCCACTATTTAAGACGCAAAATTGCTCGAAGAGAATCTGCTACGTCTCCCCCGATAAAAGTCTCGGTAGCAAGAAATCACAGAGTTTCGGTCGAATCGCGGAAAGTCCATCCTAATACGCGATTACTTTTCATCCCGTGGCAGGTCAGACGGGCGGCTGGAAAGAGGATTACTTACTTGAAAACCAGCCAGTCTGAGGAACACGATCGCGGGACAGGCAGGAGGCGGCGCGGCTCTCAGGAGTTCTGCTCCGGCGTCGTCGCGACGACCTAATCTCGCCAAAGGACCCTCGTGGACGGCCAGATGAAGACGGGCGTTGCAGAGACTGAGCTCGCGGACGCTCGTGTATTTGAGCAGCTCGGAGAATACCGCCAAGCTGTCCGATTCCTGCGAACACAACCGTATTCTCACTCTTAAACGGCTACATCTACTGCTTCGGTGTTTACCGAGGTAAGCGTCTTAAATGCTGCAGTTAGAATTCACCTCCACCCCCGTGGTGACATTCATTAACCAAGGAAAGTTCTTCTCTCGCGAATCGTCATTTATGCGAAGAAATAAATAAATTAAATTTTCTTTACCGTTTCCCTTTTGAAATAATTCGAAATTCCATACGAAGCATTGTTCGTTATAATCAAGCTTTCGTTATGATTAAATAGTATTGTATTTTACTTATACTAAATTTCAATTTTTCAAGATTTATGTATTGCATTGTATGCTTTATCACAACAAATTTTTGCCCCCTCCCATTCCGACTCCCGCTTTGTTTCATCGACGACGCAAGGAATCGTGGAAAATGGAATCGCAAAAAAAGGGAACCTTCAAAGCGAACGTCGAACTTCGTCTCGGTTCAAAAGCAAGGAGTTTCTTCCGCACGGCAAGATTGATATCGCAACGCCCGCCGCCGCCTGCGGAATAGCGCGACCCAATTAGGGGTGGCGTCATTAAGTGGCGCGACGCGGCACCCCGTGGCAGTTTCAAATTGATCTCGAAGCCAGGAGCTCTCTGTTCGATCGGAACGTGTCCCGCTCCACTTTTCGCCCCAGATTCAGCGACGTCGTCGAACAGCGAGAAGCGGAGCAGCTCTATACAATATTCCAAAGTATAGACGAGAGTCCCTTTGGGGAGTTCAGCATGCAAGGGAAAGGGACCAGCGGAATAGGAAGAATCAAGGTGAAGAGGTTCGCTGGAAAATTCCGCTCGAGATCGAAACGAAGTCAAAGCGTCATCGGAATAGTCGTGTTTCCGTGGAGAATCGGTGCAACGTGTATCGCGGATATTACGTTCGCGTGTACACTATCGATCGTAAGGTATTGGTACACGTGGTCTGTACGAATAAAATGTGATATTTCGTGAAACTGATATATATTTTAGATCACTTTTATTACTTCACGTAAATGTTGTCCATCGAGCTTTAATATCTCCGTATGCAATATTTATTTCCGACTTTCAACAATTTTGTAATGCCTTGTAACATTTATGTACTGCATAATTGAATTGTTACTTGTTCAGCACTTATCTTAACACCAAATCGACGGTAAAACATGGATTTATTCGAGTAACAGCCATTGTTTTGGCATTGGTTTGTTTTTCTATATGTATATACGTGAAAAAACGGCGATAGCTATTCTTAAGTGATCAGGAACTGGGTCCGTAACGTGTCTCAACTAATCGTTCAACTGTTCGCGCGATCGCAATCGTCGTCGTTTTAAAATATTTACCGGATAATGGATGCAACAAGTGTGTTGCCGGGTTAATTTAATCGCCGACTTTCGCCTGTGCCAAAATTAATTCACCTCGAAGCCGCAAAAGGGTTGCCGTACGCCTCACCGCGAAACGGGTACACGTAACAACTTGCGGTTCGCGTGTGTTACAGTCGACGGTTGTTTCGCAAAATCCGCAAGAATTTTGTTGTACGAGGAACATCCTAAATAATTTTACCAATATATTATATTAATAGATTCAGACCAGAGGTCTTGAGAAACCTACTATTTCCACTCATCGATACGCTCGGTCTATTTTTCTACGCAGACTCTTCTACAGCTCCAAAGCATCTGGTGATCTAAATAAGAGAACACTTATACTTCGTGTAAGTTTAACGTGTGGATAGGCCACAAAGGCAAACCGTCCACCGCGACAAATTTACAAAGTTAACTATTCCCTGTGACGTTGACGAACGGTCGGGGCGGCACTCGACAAATCGACTCTCGTTTCGACGATTCCTCCGTAATTATTAACGACGCTGCTTCGTCGGTGGCTCGTAGCTTTCAACGAGAATCGCTGCATCAATTTTCCGTTCGCTACACGATTTTCCCGGGTATCAACTTTGTCTGGTGACGCGAATCGCGGAGAGAACCGACCGATGCTGTGTCCTCTGTGTTTTTCTTTTTGTTTAATTTATTTATGAGCAAGGAGAGGGTTTTTGTCACCTCTTCTATCAAGCCGTGTCTGAGAACCATGGTCCTTTCAATAGCTAACTGAGGTGAAAATGGGGTTACTACACACGGTAATACAGAATTGCTATTTGAGTTGTTCGGTGGAAAAAAGTTCACGGAAAATTGTTTTTCGCCCGGGTGCCGCATATATAGACGCACGCGTCGTTGTTCGATGCAAAAATATACCAGAGATTAACCATATAAATCCAATGAACCTGCGGGCCACGGTTTTTTTTTAAAGTGGAAATCATCCCCCGTGGCACGTGACAGCCCGAACAATAATGGCCGGGCTGGGCGGTAGCCGGGAGAGGGCTCCAACGAGCTGCATTGTTTATAATCACCCTCGTGCGTTAAATTAAATCCTGTCCGGCACCCCCCTCCCCTCCCACGGTCTCATTGTTTCCGCGCGTGATATCACCAGGCTACCGGCAGGATTTTACGGTTGTACAATTTATTCGGGGGTATTCTGCGAATTACGCGCTTTTCGAGCTCTGCCAGCACCCCTTTACCCCGCTGCTGGCGTGGCGGCCAACCCTCTCGGTGTACACGCAGTTTATCCTCGTTACCGACGCGATTAAGCGGACCCACTGCTTCATCGGGGGGTGGAGGGAACCGATGGACCGAGAGTTTAATCGTCCCACGGGCTAAGGAGGTTTATTTATATCGATTGTAACGCGACATAAATCTGGCCCTCTCTCAGGGACGATCCTGTGGCGGCATCACCTCATGCATTCGCCATTAGAGGTCTGTCGAGCTAACATACTTTCCCGCAGCTATCCGAATCCTTCGTCGGTTCGTATAATATATACCTTGTATAGGGTGTATCCCAAAATGATGGAACAAGCCATGCCAGACACGCATACTCCTCGTGTAGATACAAATCGAAAAGTCCTTTACCGTTTTCTAATCCGAAGTTCCATTCTCAAAATATTCCGTTCCCCAATAGGGGATAGGTGAGTCTACTAGCAGGTCCAGGACGAATCGCTATCTCCCCTTTGCTTTTCTTTCATGCCTCTAACAGCAACCGCCGCCAAAATCCTTTAGCTCATCGACCAGCCTCCAAAAGTAGACTGTTTGATAGGCATGTTCAATGCGCTCGTAAAACGACGAAGTACAAAACCAAGGACGGTAGTTTTCATGGCTGGGGTCGCGACGCGTCGTCTCCTACACTATTTCTCCATTACCGAGAATGTTGTTTTGAATAAACGCTCGCTCGAATCGGTTCGTATAATGCTACGAGGAGCTCCAACGACGGTATCCAGAATGGGGTGCCGCGTAATTTATCGCGGGCAATATTACCAGCGACGTTGTAAGGGATGGGTTCAAGCCAGTGGCCCGCTCGGAAAAGTATTTTATGGCGGCTGAGGAATCGTGTATTATATCTGCTGGAGCCTCTTTTATCCGAGGAATTTCAATAAATCGTCTCTTGATTGGGGGGAACAGTTAAAGGTTCGGATAGTCATCGACATTGCTAGATATCTTCTTGGGTTGGCGGGTGGTTTGTAATTCAAGAAGGAATCTTTTAAAAACAGTCTCACTTGACAACAAGCATTGGATGTCCCAGTTTTGTAAATTGTTCTCTCCGTACAAGTCCATTTAAATTCCGATCAGCCGTCTTATCGAGCGACTGGCGTCTTTCCTCCTCCCCCCTGCGAGCTCCACTGCGTGGTAAATAAATTAACCCAAATTATTCTTAGAGAAAGCGATTCTATTTAAAGGTATCCGAGGAATCTGAATGCAGAAGAACCAACCTCTTCCACCTTGCCACTCGACGCGGCCCAAGGAGCATCCCCGTTCCCGGGCGGTTCTTTCTTCGATTAACATACATTTTATTAGCGCGACCCGTCGAGCGGGTAAACGGGGGAGTTTATAAATCAGTCCACGGCGTTTTCCATCCGACCGTGCCGGATAATAAATAAGGAGCCTCCTCGAGGAAGCGGTTCTCGAGTAATGGCCGAGTCGTTAGACTTGTCGGGCGATGATCGATTCGTCCGCTTAATGCGCCATTTCCCCTGTATTCTATTTTCCTGAGGGGGTGGATGGGGTGCAAAATTGGTTACGGGACACAATGTATGCCGCGTAATCTCGGAGTTGCCCGGATAGATTTAAGTAAATTGGATCACACGGACGAGCGTGCTCTCGCTTGGGAGGAGGGAGAGCATTTTTAATAATGAAAAATCCATTTGGCCGTGTCGCGGATATATATCTCTTGTTTGCCTGGCTTCCAGTTGAGCATCCTTCTCTTCCTGCGCATTCACGGTATCATGCTTTATTCCGCGGGTGAAATCTCTCGCGCTTCGTTTGCCCTGTCTCTTGCTTTTAAATAAATCAGCTCTCTCCTGGCGAGGATCGAGGAGGAGGGAAGCATCGTCGTCCCCCGATCGTGTGCAATTCGAATCCGTCGGTGTCCTCTGTTCGCACGATCGACCTGAGAGACTACTCAACGCGATTGCCTCGAGTTCGTTTTAATTAAATATATTAAACGACCACCACTCTTCTCTGTCGTCGTTCCAAGATCAAGAGGCGTGCAGTCGCGCCTAATCTGTACAATACAGTTAATCATCGATGAATGTTCGAAGGTATAAGGACGTTACCGTTCTTATACCAGCTCTCACGTCGGTTCTATAACCGTTATTTTTTAGGTTGAAAGATTAGGTGAAAATGAATCAGTACAAAAAAATTAATTGATTCTTTACAATAATATCACCAACAGACACCTATGCTCATAGTATCTACATATATAACTAAGTATGTAACTTTAATTAATTATACCTTCAAAACTATCAACTAACTATGGCTAATATTTCACAAATATCATTGGAAATATGTATTCTAATATCCTACAAAAGATCGATAAAATCGAAGTGGTACAGTTGGGCTCCATCCCTTGTCAGTGTCGAGGAGCCTTCGAACACTCATCGATGATTTACCGTATTTGTCTTTCTCTTCGAAGAAAGGTCATTTCTCAGCTGTCTATTTATCTCGACGAAACACCCACCCATGGTGTTCTATCCTACGCCGGCCATTAACGGTCCTTTCGACACACGACGGATTTAAATAAATAGGTTGCATCGCCGCAACGTAGCAGCGATACGTTGTGAATAATGGAGCAGTGGAGGGGGGATGGGGGGCGCGCATAAATCTCACGCGAAAAAGCACGATGGACGGTGCCCTGGTGAAAACATACACACACACATACACACACGTACAGTTACCCTTCTTATCGAGGAAACGCATTTTCTCTCGCTTCCTTCGTATCAATCCGCTGGACTACCCCCAACCCAGACACCCCACACCCGACGTTTCTATCATCGTGAAACACCGGCGCGACAGGAACCGAACGAGATACCGGCGAACTTTTAAATCGAATCGAATAGAGAATGCAATTTGATGCTCGGTACGAAAGCTATCGGTTAAAAGAACAAGTACGAGCTGCTAGGAGAGATGGAAGTCGATGTGGGGGAAGGATCAGGACAGGGGCCAATAATTCGAAATTTTTATGAAATTTTCTAGAGATACATTCGCTACGGGCTGTTTTTCTTGTTGGCTTTACGGTTGTTTTACGAGGTTTTGTACCCGAATTTACTCGCCGTTTTTCTGCACTTTTTTTTATTGCAAGTTAAGGTTAAATTCTCCTTTGTCTTTTCTTTACGCCCGTCGCTCGTATTTCATGCGGGTGACAGGGGTGAACCGGGTGGAAGGGAATACAGGAGACAGCGGTTGGTCTCCGCGTGTCAGTGGTGGAAGCAGACTCTTATGCTCCGCCAGTGGAAGAGGGGTCGTTTTGGTCAGACCGATCGAACAATGCCCTCGGAGGGAATTTTTATGGTGTATAATTTTTCTTGCACGGTTCACGGACCTACTATACGGTTCGATGTCTCGCGAATTTCATTTTCTTCGTACCCTGCGCAATAACGTAACGAGAACGTATTTCCAATTGAAGGGAATATTAGGTGGAATCGGTCGAAGTCTAGTCAGACCGCGGTCAGTTTCGCGTTTTTGCCGCGGATGTTCCAGTAAATCAATACCACAGCTTTCGTGTTAGCATAAATTAGTGTGTATGGAGTGCATTCACGTGTACAAGGTGATTCGATTATTACGAAACTTTTCGCAACGTTTCCATCACGGAACGTTTCTCTTTGGACAATACCTTGACCACGAAAGCGAAGCTCGCGGTCACAATTAGTCCTCGCCGGCACAGGTTCTCTCTCCGTCAGCAGGAACGGGATAATGTCTCAGGGTGGTCGGGATAAAGTGGATATCTTCTATTATTAATGCACACCGTTTCAGAGCCGTCCGCAGTACTCCGAAACGGTAACTACTTGCTAATTAGGCGAAACGTTCCGCGGCCACAACTATCGACGATAATTCCGTAAGCCATTTCCGTTCTCGGGTCCGTGCACGATAGTAAGTAGTTACAATCTACTTCGAGCTGTTAAATAAAAGGGAGAATTAAAAATTCACTTTGTCAAGTACTCGAGTCTAGTATTAAGAATATTACCACAAACTTTGACCAAATTGGTTCAGTAGTTTTTTAAATATTGTTGGTACCATGTATTGAAAAAAAAAAAATGGCAGCTAGTTTCTTCTTGTTGATAAATACATAGCATAATTTTTCAGAAATTACTAAGGAAATAAAATATAACAAGACTAATGTGTTGAATTTTTAATAAATAATAATTCTACACATACAACAACATTTGTTACTTTTTCCTTCTTACAGTAACAGCTCGAATGTATGTAACCACTTACCAAATTGCAGCCGCCAACTATAGTATACATGTAAACAAGATTCCTCGCGAGCTGATAACACAACGTTCACAATGAAACAAGCCGAAAAACATTTTCCCTTCCGTTGGGACACTCCGTTCAAAGGAAATCGGAAGTTCCAAACACGCTTACTCCTTCCCCGTCAATTAGCTGGAGAGCTAAACAATAGTAGAGTAGGTTGCCCTTTATCTCTATTTTCTGCGGCGCCGTGGCTGTCCTGGAATCGCCGATAATTAATTATCCAGTTTCGGGGTAATCCACGGGCGCATCTGCTGGGATTATCCCATGGTCGTGTTCTCTTTCTCATCCCCTCCCCTCCACTCCCTCGGTTTTCGGGTGTCTTTCCGCCTTGGCTAGGCATTTGTACTTCACCGGAGATAATGGCTCGACGCCAACAATGGTCCGGAAAGATAGACCAAGAGGGAAAGGGTTAAGAGGTTCAATGGCAGGAACCGGAAGACGTACATATTTATATTATGTACCCACGGTACATACGAGCGTGCGCGAGAATTCTCCAGATATAGGACGACGTGTCCAGTGAATGAACATTATTATACAGAAACGAGTAAATGAAATGATTAAAAAGAAGCAAATGATTAACTATTGATTCTACTCAATTCTTTGTTTCAGATTCAAACAATTTTTCTGCCACTGGTTTGGAAATGTTCGTTTACTTACCATTGTTCATTCACTGGGGAAATCTGTATTTTTTTCTTTTTAATTTAAAAAATTTTAGTTATCAAATGTTTACTAATATTATTATCATTTAAAATTCGCCTTTGACAGTTACAAAATCTCTCAAGTGTTCATTCATTGGTGCGTTTACTCTAGTCACGATCGAATCGTCGATTCTGTTGTCAACGATGTTTCGAGTTCACCAGAGATAGGATATATTTACGTGTGAAGGTGCTAGGATCTCCGAATCTATCGGAGGAGTTTTGAAAAATAAGAAAAACTGAGAGTCAACGATATACAATTGATTTCCGCGGCCAACGGTATAACATCCACCGAGAACACGTTTCCACATCACGATCGCAAATTTTTCAGATCTTCAGTACTCGTAAATCTGATTAGGTAATCGACAACGTGTAGCCGAGCGTGTAATCGTACGTGGAATCGCGAAAAACAACCGAATTTCAAGAATTTGCCGAAACCACTGCTGGTTGTTTCCCTCCCATTCCGCCGTGGCATTCCTCGTAAAACGGTCGACCGGATGATTTTCTTTTTTCTTTACGCGAGTAAACACTTTGACGAGCGAACTAAAAATCCTCGTAACGATGGAAACCCGTAGGATTCGGGACGAAATGGTGGAATTTTCAGACACGACCGGTCCCGTTTCCGGATGTGGCCATTAAAATTCGGGATTCTGTTCGACAACGACAAGAAAAGAATTCTAGCGACCTCGATCTCACGAGCTGGAGAACCGCAAAGTATTCGCGAGCTATTCTTTTTGCGGGGCCCCAAGAGTTACTGGCTGGTAGAGACCGGATACCCCATCGGTTTCTTTTACGGATCGAACTCTCGGTCCGTGAGTTCGTCGAAAACCCGCGAGAAGATCTGTAACCGGAGCAGCCACGGATCTCTTCGAGATTCCGTATGCGTTTCGGCGATATCGATCGGACGTCTGTCTTTTCTCTTACATTCGCTCCGTTGAAACCGAACCTCGAGTCGAGGGATGTACGAGAAATAAAGAAGCACCTTGGAAGAAAAAGGAAGTAACAGATTCATCGCCGCGAAACTCGATTCGGCTGAATAAAGGTTCCTAAATACGCCTATATATGCAAGAATAATACAAGGTTTTATTTTATCTCTTAGCGCAATGTATATTAAACTGTTAATAAAATATATTTTTGACGCATGTTTCTTTAGTATATATACGACCATGGAAGTTCAAAACGCAAAATCGTTTCAACGGCTAAGAAGCTATTATCGATTTCACCTGAGATCAATGGGATAAAAGATTTCTCCGTGACGGTATACCTACGTGGTTCCAGTACGGTGTTCGAAGTAGGTTTGAATGGCGTCAAGCTAACGCAAACTTTTCAGACATTGTTATCGCGCGAGACGGCTAGTTGGAATTCTGGTTCCTTCGTGCTACTCGAGGGTCGGGGGGAACGTTATGCAATGTTCGTGCTGTATACATATATAGCCGGGGCAGCCGCGTGGAGGTGCAGCCAGGATATTACCAGCCAGCACTTTCAGAATTGCGAGCCACCGCCAACTGCGGGAGAGAGAGAGGGAGAAGGAGGGGCCGCTCGAACGATTCTTGCATGGAGCTCCTACCTTTATTTTTCCTCCTGGGAGTTTTAGGACTTTCTTGGTTTACTCAGCGAATACAAATTGGCCGTGCGCCCCCCCTTGCGCCTTCCCTTTGCAAATTATCGCTTGGTTCTTTCGTTAATCCCTTAGACACACGAGCCGTTTAATCGTTAAGAAAAATAAGACCACGGAATTTTTTTTCGCACCGACGTTGAAATCTGCGGGACTCGTTAGCAAAGTTCTGTTTGATTTAAGAATTATCACTTTGAAATATAAGACCGTTGCATCGCCATATACCGTTGTCCAGAATCGTAAGCTTACCTCTATTCTAAAGGTCCATCCCTCGAGACTGAGCAGCTTCAGGGTGGTGTTCCTGGCGAGGGCGTGACACAACAGCCGGGACGGATGATCGTCTAGGGCGAGCCGTGGACTGGCGAGATCAAGAAGTTGCAGACAGGGTGCCTCCGTCAATGCCAGCACCAACGGCATCACGTCCGCCGGTCTGGACGCACCAGCAGCCCTTAAAGCGTCCAAATTACGCGCCCTTCGGATGGTCTCGCCCAGGCAGCCAGCGTCCAATCCTCCGAGCAAGCACTTGGACACATTTAGGGACCTCAGCTTGCAATTCGGTTCTCTGAGACACATGGACAAATGGGCGTCGATTAATTGAATGGCCGTATTATATGGAAGTAGCGTCGACGTATTAATTCGATTTGTGTTGGTTTGGAGGAAGCAAACATTGGGAAACGAACCTTTTTTGGGTGAAGAAAGAAAATTCTGGGGATAAATTCTTTCTCGAACGGTGTTCCATAATGTCTATAGCCATGAAAAATTAGCGGAGGAACAGTGCACCGATGAGTGCCATTTGTGCGAAGGATAGCTTCCCTGCGACGGGACCAGGTTCCACGGAGGACTTTCAATTTGCTCGCAATTTCCGATAGATTCAACCACGACAGAGACACGTGATATGCTTCGAGTAATACCGTAGACTCGTCCAATTCTCGTAAGGTACGTCGTGCGAGATATAGGAGGGAATCGATACCAGCGGACAACTCGTCAACTAATTCTTCCAGACTGTCTGTTCGGAGAAAGATGGGAAGAAGGCACCGGGAAGGGGAAATGATTTAATCGAAGCAACTGACAAGCTAGTAATTACGCAAGATCGATACTCGTGTCCGCTGGTCTATCCTCCGGCAAGGTGCTACCCTTTATTAATCGAATAGATAGACTTTTAATCGACGCTCAGTTCTCGGCCAGACCTGTCTGAAAGAAAGGATAGGTCGGACGGGTGATAGTTGAGGCTATTATAAAAACGAGGTCCGAAATAAACGTGGTTACCGAACGGGATACGAAGTAACACAGTCGGGATAGTGTTTAACGAGATCGATTCCGGGGGCGGTAGTCGATTATTCGACCGGTCCCTTGTAAATTGAACCGTTCCGGGGGCAAATCAGATCAACCGTGAACACCGCTCGCGTAATTCGCAACGCGTAGCCATTCTTGATTAACGGTCACGATTAAAAGTTTGGTTGTCCGCGACGTCGCGCCGTCCATTTCGTTCGGAATAATTGTACCGTATCGATTTGATCGCCGTCGATCCATTAAAAATATTACGAAACTGCGCTGCTTGGAAAAACTCTCCCTGACGATGAAGAAACACTGCACTGTTGCTGAACTTAATTTAAATTTGATCACTTAACTTTTTGGGAAAGACTCGATACACATTTCGTCTTCAGGACTGCATATGAAAATAACTTGCACAGTTATTTTCATTTTCTGCATTGCTACCGTGTACCACTTGCACTTAGTCAAAGACCTTTGATCGAGCAATGTATTGCATATTTTTTAAATTAATATTCGTTCGCGCAAATGTGAATGCACAGGTTAATTTTCGCAAGTTATTCGAACGTGTAAACGGGCCTTTGCACATCGAATAAACCAGCGTGTGTCGAGGCACACAAGATCTTAGACCGCCAAAGTCCAGCTCACTGGGACGTCACGTAGCAGAACGGTGCGCGGGGGTACGTACCTGCGTTTAATAGGGACAATTTAAGGAGCTCGATTGTCGGGATCGCGTCTGGATTTAATGGTATCTACCCGCTCGGACGATATTTACTCGACTATTAGCGTGGTACGAGGCGGACGGTGGCCGGGGGAGAGTACAGCTAATGGCGCGCCTTTAATGGTATCCAGCACGAGTAAATCCGCTCGAGTGCCCTCGACGTATCTACCTCGGCAAAAATATACCCGTAGCGAACACGGTATATACCAAGTGAAGGGGAGAATGAAAGGGGGGATGGGGCATCGGGGATAACCTACTCGGGCCAATAAAAGTGATACTCTAAATCAAAGCTCGTATCGGTCTCCGTTTCTCTCCGATTTCAACCGCTCGTCCCCGTATTGGCCCTTGCCGAGGAAACGTTTTCCCGCCGAGGCAGCGCGCGCGAGCGAACGCCAGCGGAAAATAAACGGCCGCGGGCGAGGCAATGGATCACACGGCGGCCGACGTGTTTTAGATACCCGCCGTTTCAGTGTACCGATGGCGAATTGATTCCACTTTTGAAGAATGTCCGTCGGAACTCGGCTGGATCCCCTCCTCCTCTTTTGCCGGAAATTGCGCGCGCTCACGGAAGGATCGAGGTTTCTCGGTGAACCGGGACCGAGATAGAGAGTGGTTCAGAGAAATTTGAAAAAAAAAAAAAAACGATAAAATGCTGGCAATAAATCGCTGCACCCGGTGCTCGGCAATCTCTCATCCGGGGACACTGAACGAGCGTAATTTCTATCGTGTCTAATCTCTCGCCGGATCAAAGGGAATTTACGTCACTAGTGATTACCGTGTCGCGTTGACAACGTTGAAAATCGGGGCGGTGTTACACGATGCTCGAACGTCCCGCTACTACATATGTATATGTAAGTATATTTATATTAATTTATAAATGAAGTCAATAATTTGATTAAAAACTTAAAAAAAATGATAACTATATATTGTATTTTTTAATTCGCAAATATCACTTAGCTTTAGAGCTGTTACACAAGAATCTCCTCTTAAGGGCCCGTGTATTAACGGTGTCGAATAAATTCGTAGCAGAGATTCACGACCTCTGCTGACCAGGGCAATCAAAAGTCTAGTCTCGTCGTGAGTTCGCGCATAAACAGGCGGTGTAACAATTTTCCGAAGCTCCTACACCCAAAGTGGATCTATAAACACCCGGCAGGATTCACACACGTTTCGCGGTTCTGGAATCGTACCGAGCTACGGTCGGGAAATCGTCGAACAACGTGCTTCTGCCCTCCGAATGGGTTTTCGTCGCGGGGAAATGAACGGAATTTAAGCGCGGTTGTATCCGCCGGCGCGCTTCCGCGCTATAAAATTGGGATCGTAAGTCAAAAGGCCGTGCGGCGGCGAGGCTATTGCGTTTCCTTGAGCGTGCTCGAGTTTCGACAGCTTTACTGCCGCGAGATTTCGCGCCCCGTGGCGGTAGCAGCAGCCTCGAGTACTCGACACGCGCGCAAGAAGACATTTTTATCGCGTTAACACGCTTTATCGTGTGCCACCTTCTTGCGCGAACGTCTGATACTCGACGAAACGAGATCCACTTGCGGCCGCCGTCTCGCGAAACCCTGAATAGCCTGAATAGTGGGGCACAAGATATTTTTGACCTGACTTCTAGCCTCCTGAAATCCGTCTGCAGGAAGTTAAAAGCACCCATAGACGATACGATGTATCGTCGAACGATAAATCGTATCCTGCATGGGAGCTTTTAGAGGGCAAAACGAGACAAAGACGCGACGCTCCGTAATCCGAGCAGTCGACTCCATTAAAGCTCTTTCTGGCCGGAGATTCTACTTCGTGCACTCGATCCAGGTTCAACGAGATTCACGGTAACTTTCGTGAAATGTTTGCTCCAAGAGATAATAAGTAGGACGGCTCGCACGTTGACGCATCGGAGAATTTCAAACTCGTATCGCGTTACTGGCGCGAGCTGTTCGAGGAGGAGACGAAAGCGGAGTAGTCGATGGGAACACGTACTCATTGTATCGCGTAACGAGATAATTGCACCGTTCTCCCAAGAACTTCGAAGTCTTCCCCCATGGTAGTTTCCCCTTTAACTACGCCCGAAGAAGATTGTTCGGAGTTCCGGGCCAAGTATACAGCCCGAGCCCCGCTTCCGGATGCTTAACGACGTTAAACTGCTGCCGCGTTCCGAACGATACTTTTCCACTTTAATGCTCCGTGTTCTTTCAACGGGTATCCGTCAACGAATGCGTCCAGCAGACCCGCGAAACATGAATGAAAACTTCGTTGTCGATGGATATTTCGATCGGGGGTTACCGAGTTGATGTGTTCTCCAGGTGGAAATACGGCAAAGGCAGACAAAGCAATGGTCTCACGCGTTATATTACAATTTGAACCCTTAAAACATTTTTCTGGACTACTGTGAGCTGGCGCGGAAATTTTGATATGGAGATTGAAAACACGACGAAAGGGTCAGGTTGTTTAAATCGAATTACCTGTTCGTCGAGTACCTTCCGTTCCTCGAAATAATATTACACGAGTTCTTCATTCTTCCGAGCAGGTCCCGTCATAAACGTTCTACCTTTCGCGAAGGAATGCGTTCGCCGTCGGTCTTTACATTCCCCTTCGTTTTACTCTCGTAAATTCCAGCGAATCGGAAACACGACTCGCGTTCCGGAAGATACACGCGTACGTATAGCGACAGTGATGTTTTTAATTAAAAATACGGCTGCCGGACGCGACCTGTGCGACACGCGAGTAAATTGGACCTCCACCCGAGAAAAATATTCCCGAGATTATGCATCTGCGCGCTCGGCTGGTTCGCGTGCCGGCATCACGAATTCGTTCTTTTTCTTCGTCGTGGACTTCTTCCTCGTTCGTTTCCCGTCCCGTTTCAACCTACCGAAAATATTTTCCCGTCAATGAATGCGCGACTGGAACTTGCTGCCGGAAGTAATCGAAGCGAGCCAACGACAAAACTAGACATTTCACCGTGTGACGATAAAAGAATCCGTTCGAAGATGATTTTATTCCGTGAAATTGTAGAAAGAGAATTCTTCGAGACGTCTTTAATTGTAGGATGGATGCGCCAGTAAATGAACACATACCAGTGAATGAACATTATATATAGGAACAAGTAAATTGCGATATTAAAATAAACAAATGATTAAATATTGATTGTTTTCAATTCCTTCTTTCATATTCAAACAATGTTCGCGCAGTGGTGAAATCTGTATTTTTTCTTTTTAATGTAATTAATTACATTTCTCCAGTTTTTCAGATTGAAACCTAACGTTATAAAAAGGTATGGATATTAAAATATCTAATTTTCATGTACCAAATATTTGGTAGTATTATTATCATTTTGAAATTCAACTTTAATAGTTACAAAATTGCTTAAGTGTTCATTCATTGGTGTGTTTACTCTACGAAAATTTTTTAATTATCCGGTACACTAAAATATTAAAGTATCCGCAAAGCTGCGAAACCAGCGCAGAAAATTCGAAACTGTTCACCGGTTTCGGAAGATCATTATGGATTCCGATGAAAGCTGCAGAAACAAAGCAGAGTACTGAGCCAAAAGGGGGGACAGAGAGTTGTTTCCTCGCGTTTAAGGGTTGCTGCGACGAGGCCGATCCGTAAACGAAGAAACAATGGCCCACGAGGTTAGCTACAGCCGGTCGACTTCCCGTGGTCGCCGCGTGTGTTCTCCAGCCAGCGACGTATCGCGCCCGTTCGTAAACGGATTCGTATATAATGGCATCCAGTGTTTTCTTTCTCCTCTGTCATTTCATCAGGGGGGCAACGACACAAATGGCCCCCGTGCCCGGCGGAACACACAGGAACTCCGTGGACTCCTGTTAATTCATTCAACATAGCGTCCTCCGCTATCCTCGCGCGACGTCCTCGGTCGTTTCTCTTCCCTTATTTTACTTCGACCGTGTCTCCGCGCCCAACTTTACCGCAAATTTGAATTCTCCGTGCACGGAACGAAATTAGGAACGGGGAAAGGTAAACGCAGTCGTGTCTGCAGAGCCGTGGCTCGAAATTAAAAAGGATGCCCATTGTATGTTGCACGTCTGTAACACGATGATTGGTATTCCCGATATGTGAAAAATGTTTCGAATTCGTTTGTAACATTCTTCGTGAGAAAAACTCTCGACGTCGAGGGGAAATTCTCGCATGAAACGTCCTACACCGTCGATATTCGCGCGTTTTGGACCATGTAACGAGGGACAGAGAATTCCATTATGATCGCGTGAGCGTGCAACGAAGGCTGCGTCGCGAGAAGAAAGGACTTCGCGAAGCCACGGGAACAATGAACGTGTCCAGGTGACAGCCAGGTGAAGGCTGAAATTAACACCAGACTCGGATCAATGCCACCGGCAGGTGACAGAGAATTTCTGTGCGATAGCGTGTTCGGTCAACTGGAGCAGCCTCGAACGAATCGGGAACCGAACAGAAGGGACTTCCGGCGAGGCGAATGTCGAGACTGTGCTTCGTCGAAGAATTTCCAACACCGTAATTTATAAACAGCTGGACAGACGGGAGTGAAGCAGAACCACTACGTTCGAACTTTTCGCCGGAAGTTCGTATAATTACCTGAATGGCCACTCCCGTTCGTCTCCTTAATTTCCATAACTCATTTGCGGGTCGTTCGGGGACCGAATCTTGGAAACGTTCGCGCAGGAAACACAATCCTCTCGGTTCGTATCTACGGGTAGAAGTTGCGAACCGAATACTTCAGGAGAAGTTCCGCGCGTTTTTGCGTGCTTCGAGACGAGGGGACGAAGCTGTTTCACGAGATTGTTCCTTGCGGTTGATGTGCTTTTCGTATTCAACGTCATTAATGACATCATTTGTTGCCCGGAACTTTTAATCAATAAATTTGTATGCGCCTATAAGATCGATTAGATCGTTAGATTTACAAACACTTTTCTCCCACAACGTTATACACGTCATGCTTTATATATACAAGACTAACATTGTAAAAAACAAGTGAGATATTCAAGGTGCACACGATAGGTGGGACACCCTGTATATACATATATTAATATACACTAATGATATTTATCCCGTTTATTTAATAAATAATTAATAACAATTATTTCGTTCTCGAGCAATCGATAACGATAAACATCTTAATAAAAAAGGACCCAAAGCTACTACCTACGTCTACCTGAGTTTACTCACGAGTCGAGAAATCCTCTGAAAAGTGCGAGCTATGGCAAAAAGCTTTAAGTAAATCCTCACCTGATGGCGTTGAAGATCTCGTGGAAGCCGGTTCCTTGATGGCTGCTGACGTCGCAAGTGGGCAACGGGTGCAACAGCGGCAAACGATGACACAGCACGCTGTCGCTGTTCCTCTTGCTGCTCCCGTTGCTGTCCCGATCCCTGTCGTTCGGCGGCAAAGGTCCGTTTCCGGTGGCGGGCGCGGGACCAAGGCCAAGACCGAGTGGAAGCCGCGGTAGGGTTGCGGGCCTCGTTAAACTTCCGTAAGCTGCCAGCGCTCCGCGCGGCAGGGACGAGTAGCAACGATTAAGGGGTAACGTGCCAAGGGTGCTGGAAGCACAGCCGCTGCTTCCGGAACCGGAGCCCGAACCTACGCAACAATTTCAACGTTCTCAATTTCCGGTGGTCACGGTCTGCTCTTGGACGAGTACACGGCCCGAGAATTGCTACCGCATCGTACCGAATCGAGGAGGGGAGCAGTGCGTCCGAGAAAGTTTGTTTCCGCGGGAGGAACGGACTTTAATTGCTGGTTAAGCGGGTTTGATTGGGCGAGCTAGCTCGTGAACTTTCCACGAATCGACCCCGTAACGTTGGCAAGTTTGCCTCGTTATGCGCTCGTAAACTCCTACGGTGCCCGAAAATAAATATACCAACAGCATCGAGAATCAGGTTGCTCGAATCTGTCTTAAGCCCGTTTCACGTCGATGCGATTCCAGTGTCGAAGTATAAACTCGATGTATTTATCGATCAGGACTGGAGGAAACTGCTGTATACCAGAAGGTTAGGAGACTAGTGATGGTTTAACTTTATTCACGACCGTGATATTTTTTATCTCGGGTGAATTTGCTCATTGTGATCGTAACTCTTGAACATTAGAAAGAAAAACTTATTAAAATAATTATGCGACATATGTGTTATGTAACACATAGAGTAGAATTTATAATTGTTCATTTATTCGTTATTCTCTGTTGTTCCTCAATATTCCGGTTACTTTATACGATGCAACTCGAATTTTTGTTTTGACGTCGTTAATACAAGATATACAGGCTATATGAAGCGTGCAAAGAACTACTGTTACGAACTACATCAATCAGAAACGATCGCGAAAAATCTCAGTCGTTTGGAACGAACGTGATAGAATTACTCATGATTCAGAAGTATCAGTTCACGCCATCTCCAGTTGGGATGACCCTAATTTCCTGTAGGTCCGATGTCTTTACCTTCCATCCATAAGTTTCTATCTTTAGTAATTCCCCTCCCCTCTCCTCGTCGACGGAAATTCATCGTTTCGAAGCGATTTGTCCATCAGGAGTCGAGGGGGCGGGAGAGCCTGGCAAGGAACACCGTAAGATTCCGTGCAGCTGCATAAACCGGAGCGACATTAGACTGCATTAGACGGGACACCGTGAGCCCTTAAGCGCGCTCAGTCGAGTTTACTGGCCGTAAAGCCTCCTCGCGCGTAGAATTAATATGAACGAAGTGTACAAGGGAGAAAGGCACCGTCGGCCGGCTTCCACGTTGCTAAGCGGCTCGTAAAATAAGCGACAGACCTCTGGATGCCGGCAGGAAGCGGTTACGAAGGGAACTCTATTAAGGGCCCTTCCTCCTCCACCCTCCACCTCCACCCTTCTCCTACGGCCTCGAACGCCGTTGCAAGATAATGGGCTTCAATGACGAACACAATGCGCGAACTGTTGTCGTGCGGGTGAACGCACTGGCGAAATATAAAAGCGCGTGACATCGCGACACGACAGGGGGAAGGCAGTGTTCTCATCCTGCATTCACGCGAATTCACCCCCGTTTCAAGATTTTCTAGCCACGGTACACGAACGTTTCTTAACAATTTTTCTGTTTTTTTTTTTTTTCACGTTCCTGCAACCCTTGGAACAACAATGGAAGCGCAGCGTTATTATAAACTTACGTCGAGAGTAACGATATATTTCAGTTTAGTAGGCACTCGGCTCCTTTTCTTTACGGCCTAACGTTGCTTCCTTGTTCCGACGATATTATCATGAATACTGAAAAAACACCTTATCGCGAAGTTGCACGCATCGACTCCGAATGAAAAGCGTAAAATTGTTTACGACTAGAGACTGAGAGGAGGGGGTGTGTTCGGGGCCCCCGGAGAATTTATAAAGTCGACCGTTCCAGCAGCCGATAAAACTTCACGCGAACTTTTACTTGTTTCCTTGTCGCTGCTTTGCTCCGTCAATGGGAAATTTTTCCCTGCTCGTTGGTACGAACAAAACCTTGAATGCCCACTGTCGAAGAATACGGAACACGCCTTTAGTACAGTAAATAATCGATGAATGTATCGATAATGTATGAATTAATGACGCATATGGCTATTATTTTATAAAATATTTACCTTCAAACACTCATCGAGGATTTACTGTATTCGAACACGATCCGTGTGAATATAAATTCGGTCGGGGACTACTCGATTAGCTCTCGAAACGTTTATAAGCGCGAGTGGTCGTGAGCAACGGTCCGAGGTTTCATTTTCTCCGGAGTGGTTGGCTCGGAATCGTGCCCGAGTGACGGGGAACGATAACCTTATTAGAACAACGGGCATTATTTTAGCGAGGAGACGACGACGACTACTACCGTGGAGCCCCGTTGCGATAGGTTTAATTCGCCGTTCGTTACGGATTCAGAGCGGAGTTAACAAACTCCTTTTTGGACGTGATCTCATAGAGGACGTGGCGTGTACGTGCGCTCGCCTCCGCGGATTACCGGAAATTCGAGGAACCTGGCCTGCCCATCCTTCCGACCACCACCGCCTCCGATGAATTCCACCACGGAATATTAATTCGTATCCACGGAAAACTCCGCGCCACCAGTCGTGGGGGCCTGGAATTTTTACGAATTCACCGGAGAGAATTTCATTAACTCCACGCCGCTGATTCGTCGACCGGGATAACTTATGATGAGGAAGGGGGGGGGGGGCGAACGTTGTATTAATATTTCTGTTGATTTTACGGGACGTCTGGCGTGCCGCGGAACGAACGAACGAACGACATTCCGAGGAAAATGGAGAGAACGGTGGTTCAAGCCAGGAAATGAGACCCTCCCTCTAGCTGGAAAGAGGGAGAGTGGGCCTCCACGAATAATTTCTGGCTGTCGACTCTCGTTAAGGAGAAGCTACGGAACGATTAGTAACGGGAACGAACAAGTAGTCGAAAGTAATAAGCAGCCGCGAAACGCTGACGGGATTAATTATTCTTCTCGGCTGGTATGTCGGGTTATATTTCTCGGTAACTGTCGGCTACGAGCTTGCGTATATGAGGGAACCGATGTGTATGGGGCCGCCATTGAATGGCCTTTTAGAGTAAGTGGTAATAGCACCATTTACTACTTGTTGCTGGTAACGGAACTTCCTTCCCCACCCCTTCGCTTATTCTTAATGAGATACTGAATTAATAATCGTCCCTCCCAGTGAAACATTAACGTCGACGTATTCTCTTATTTATCTTTCGATAATCTCTAAAACTTGCCAGCAAAGATGCGGTCGTAATCGTTTTTTTTTTCATCGAGGAATATAATACGTAGGTCTAACGCGACGATCGCTGACGTTCGAGAACCGGAGGGTGGTGTTTTATCGCGCCGTCGACGACGAATTTACTCTCGAAGCCGCGGCGGTGTGCCCACGGACAAAAACCATTTCCCGTTCTAAAGCGTCGTAATGGCCGTTTCCATCGGCCACGGTACATTGGATACGAACGTTCCCTCTTCCCCGACACCCGATTTAATTCCGGGTCGGGTCGCCGAGGCTAGATCCGAATCCCCCCTATCTACGTCATCGAGTATTCGTTTCTCCGAGTTCGTTTAACTCCATGGAAAGATTTATTATTGTTTCAGCGAGCGTGCACCGTTACTAGGGAAAAAAGGTACACCCTCGCGATCTCTTCCACGGTTAGTTACCGTTTGCAAAAAATCGAACGTAGCCACGACTGAATTATTTTTTATACAGGTGCAGAGGGGATCGAATATCGTGGGCAATCGTTGCCTGTTGTAGGATGAAAAATCGCTTTTCCTATACACTTACGTAAAGTTTGACAAATAAAAGTTAAGTAGTAGTTTCGAAATATTTTTAGAACACGAAGTTGTATATTTGCAAACGGAAAAATCTCAGTGGAGTGTTAACTGTAGGAAAGGATAGGGAGAAGCGTGAATTATCGAACACCAGCCGTAGGCACAAAACGAGTCGATCGCTCGGTTAGGTTTCACGTCGACCACGTTTCCGTCTTATTCAAAGCGCGCTCCTTCTGCTGGTTGTCGTCTCGTATTACGCTCGAAACAGGCGCGCGTAGAGTGGACACGTGAAACGCGGTCGCGTGTTCCAGCCCGATGGATTAATTACGTGTAGCACCAGCTGGAAACAGGGTTCCAGCGACGACGCAAATGGGAATCGTGCTGTGTATGGGGAAAAGGCACTCTGGACGATAGTGGAAACAATTTATCGAAAAGGGAGAGAATAGGGAGGATCGAACGAGACTACCCTTCGAGTGCACCCCCAGGCTTATCGACTGGAAACAACTAATCCTGGGAGACGAATCGGACTGTAACTTGTTTCGAGGGGGGTGGCGGTGTCGGTGAAAAGTAAAAAATCATCGTGGTTCACCCCGGACGTTCGCGTGTGCTCTCTCTCGTTCACGGGAATGGACTAGTTGCTTTTACTTCGCCCCAAGATAAATTTTCACCTATAGACAGTAGGACCCTTAGCGGTTGATAAATTCACCGTCTTGAGGATCAATGATGGAATGGGGCGCGTGTTCAGCCTGAGGCACAGTGGGTCCAGGGACAGTGTCAGAAACATAGATAAATTTATACAGTTTGCATATTATTTTTATACATAATGTATGACTTGTAATTCAAATGCTTCAGTAATCATGATTGAAAAATATAAATATATCTTTCTTAAAATTATTCAAAAAATGACGTGAATAAATAATATGGGTTAGTAACTACTCTGGTTGTGAATTACCATTATAAATGACGGAAATTGTTTGTGGTTGCACGTAACCGTTATCGATGATAAGAATTTTATTTATTGTTTTGAATTTTATATTCAAAATCTTGAATCATTATATTTTATTATACATAAAATTATATTAAATATCATTTGTAAGGGTTATTCGTAACCGAAATCATTCACACGAAGATATTAACTCTTACACAGTAACTTCTTAAATTGTGGTTATAACAGTGAGGATCCCTGGGCGTAACCGATCAGCGAGGAGGTGACGCATATGCCGCCACCGTCCCTGGACCCTTTGCAAGCCTGAGGTTCGAAAGTCGCGCGTTAAACCTCGTGAAAGAAGACGGCCGTCAGCGTACGTCACTGTTTGCGTATCACTTGCCCTGAAA